GATGTTTGAGAAACTAGGCCGTTCCAATGGTTCTCAAAAGCTTAAATACAGGTCCATAATGTTCAACTTGAAGGATGGAAACAACACAGATCTTCGAAGAAGAGTTCTCCTTGGAGAGGTGAAGCCTGAGAAACTCATCATCATGACTCCTGAAGAGATGGCCAGTGACAAGAGGAAACTTTCAAATGAGCAGATCAAAGAGAAGGCCTTGTTCGAGTGTGAGCGGGGAGGGCCTCCTAAAGCCACAACTGATCAGTTTAAATGTGGCCGATGTGGACAGAGAAAGACTACTTACTATCAGATGCAAACCCGAAGCGCCGATGAACCGATGACCACATTTGTGACTTGCGTGAACTGCAACAACCACTGGAAGTTCTGTTGAGTGCAAAACGCAGCAGAATGATCGCTGAAGACCATAGATCCTGTCTTCTGTCGTATTTGAGGGTATTTCCTTTGAACTCCCATTAACATTTGGTTTTATTAGCACCTTTAGTTTTCATCTCGTTTCTTCATTTTGCTATTCGCTGCCCATATTGCATTCGAATTGTGGAATTCACGCATCATCATATCTGAGTTAAGCATCAGGATGTAGAACAGGATTTAACAGTTGTTTGTCTGGTGTATGCACTATGGGGGCATTGTTGTTTCCCTGATGGATAAATGCCACCTATGTTGGACTATATACCTCTTCCAATCTTTCAATTAATGCTAATTTAACATCATAAATGGGTTTTTCCTATCAAATGGAGTTACAAATCTTAATGGATTTAGGCTCTTTATCTCATTTTTTGATCAAACTAGTTACTGCTTGATCAAACCTGATCAACTGAAGTTTCACCATGAGACTCCCACCAAAAATACAGCAGCAGAGATACAGTATAGAGAGACATGAAACAAACAACTACACTGAAGAAATGTCAGGCTACAGAGAACTATTCTCAGTTGATTAATATTGTTTTCTCCCAGAGGAAACAATCGAAATCAACCTTAATTGGATTCCATCAGTTAATTCCATTCTTAATTCTGCGTGACCAAGTTGCACAGCCAGACCTGCATTTATATCTACAAGATATTAATGGCGGAAGCTTCTCTTTTCTTTGCAGCAGTATCATACAAAGCTTCTCTTAACTTGTCGAGCTTGAGAAGGACTGGTGCGTTCACGAGCCACGCTTCGTGGTGACCGGTGGCTGTAGAACTCCGGGCGAGCGTCCATCCCTGCATTAAATCTTCTTCCCCCTCGTGGCTCCCATCTATGGCAACTGGAAGCTCGTCGGTGGGAGCTGCTGCTCTTCCCAGAACCCTCCAACCATTGCGTTTTGCCATTCCGGGCGATCCAATCGATGCTGATGGCCCCGTTGATTGAATCAGGTACGCTGTCATATCTGAAACGAGCCACAGCAGCCCCTGCTGTCGAGTGGCAGAGCCTCCGTCACTGCTCGTCAGCTGAGGGAAGGTGGTGTGGGGTGATGCACATGAAGGTATCCCCTCCTTGTATTGAGAGCTAACGAAGAGGGGCCCTACCCCTTACTAGCCTGCCCACCTTTGCTTCCTATAGTCTCTCCATTAAATCCCCAAAGGAAAAGAGAGGATGGAGGAGCATTTTAAGAGGCAAGGTTTGGTCGTACGTCACTGACATGCATATATAGTGAGGAAGACAGAAGGGAGTGCTCCATGTCTAATGGAATGTGTTGTGGAACGCGAGTTCTGCAGAAGAGGTGTGTATGTGTGTGTGGAGACAAAGGCTTCTGTCCGCCGAGGACGAAGCAGGCTGAGGGTTGGCTGTGGCCGGCCAGTAGTCAGAACTCCACCTTTATCTAGCCTGACAAGCGCTTTATTTATTGGCATTCGCCCATGCAGGCATGGTGTTCGACTGACGTTGCTCGCCTCTTCGTGCATCAGTCTGCTCCTCCTTTTTGGCTCCTCCATTGCGAGTGCATGAAGAGGAAAGATAGGTTAGGCTTAACTTTTGTTGGAGGGCAAGCGGTAAAGTTGTAGATTAGGTCTGTCATTTTACTGGGTGAAAGATGTGTCTCGATGCATTCATGGATCCATACACATCGACTGCAGACCATCACAAACAGGCCTATCCACACTTATTGGGTGTCAGGTGTGTCTCCAATCTTTCTCTCCTTAGTCCCTCACCTTAGCTTCTCTTCCTAGTATGTGCTTGCACTTTTTTCAGCTCAGATCTTGTCTCTTCTCCTACTTCTCCTGCCTTTGGATCTCAATAAAGAGTGTGTATTCATCTCACCAACTCCCGTTCATCATCTGCAGATCTACTTGCATGACCAGTTCTCCTTTCCCGCACTTGATGACAGTCGCAAGCATCGAGCAGATGACCTCCATGCATGCACGAAGCTACTGAACAGGGCTTTCTAACGAAACCATCCAACCTCCTCTTCCTTATATATCTCCGAGGGCTGCTTCTTTCCTTGAAGACGATCATGGATGATGAGCTGCAAAGCTGCGGAGGCCGGAAGAGGACTGCCACCACCATAGCATTGCGTCCGCGAGAGGAAGGCCTCAAGTGCCCGCGATGCCACTCCGCCAACACCAAGTTCTGCTACTACAACAACTATAGCTTGTCCCAGCCGAGACACTTCTGCAAGGCCTGCCGCCGGTATTGGACCATAGGTGGCGCGCTCCGGAACGTGCCCATGGGTGGCGGCTCCCGCAAGAGCAAGAAGTCCAAGTCCTCGTCGGCGTCCCGCCTTCCGGTGGATCCCGTCCGTGGACTCGCCGAAACAGGCAGCGGCCTCAGGTTTCTCGATGGAGTATCGTCTTCTGTGGCCATGGACTTCCACATACGTCTGCATGCTCCACCTGCATCTGGGGCTTTCAGCTGCAGCAACCAGTGCATCAACTTTGTCGACATCTCACGCAGTACAACGTTCTCTTCTTCTTGTACTACTGCTGCTCTTCCTCCTCCAGTGGGCTTCGATTACCCAGTCCCTGCTGCTGCAGGTGTGTATGGTGAGGTCGGTGGCACTTCTATATCCTCTGCTGTGAACGGCATCAGCGTATCCTCCATCGAGCCCCTGAGCTCCATCAGCCAGGACCTCCATTGGAAGCTTCAGCAGCAGGGACTCTCCATGTTCACCGGGCTCTCACCTCGTCCACTGGAGAACCAACAGACGCTCAAATCTTCTGATATTGCAGGCAGAGCCGGAGCCGAAGCTTGTGAGGGCAATGGAACCAGAAATCTTTGTGTTGGCGCTGGGGCTGATAGTTCACCAGCATGGTTCCCGGACAGTTCTTACACCATGCCGACTTCAAACAGCAGTATGCCTTGCAACACCATCAGCAACAACATCAACGAGAGCGCCAAGAGTGTCACCAACGTCAATAACATGAGCTATTGGGGTGGAACCTCAGCATGGAATGAGACGCCACAGTTCTCCACACTGCCTTAGGAAAGAAGAAGGCCAATGGAAGAGGTAGTATGACAGATGTGATCTCTCCAGTTCACTGCTGCTCCTTTCCGTAATCGTTTGCAGTTAAGCAGTCTGGGGAGTGTGAAGGATGGAATGATGTTGCAATCTTCTCCTGGCAGTCATTCCAACTTCCTATTTTCTTTCTCTTGCCGAAAGAGTGTATATATTTTTATATGTTTATCAGCTGCTTCTGATCATAATTTCTGCAAATTCTCTTAGTGATGTGTTCGAGTTCTTATAAAACATGTAAATGAACATACTCTCAGTTAATCTTGAGCTTCTCTTTCTTTCTATGGGGGATCTTTCAGGAACTCAAGCCTCAAGGATTCTTGCTTGAATTGGTTCTGACGTCAAGCAACAGTACTAAAATGTGTTTAGCGTTTGATTCGGCCCAGCCCATTACTCCAACATCAATCTCTAATTGGAGGTCCGCTTTGGCCCATTTATATTCTTTGCTATCGTTGACTTATGCTGACTGTTCCCTTCAAAGTCTCGCTTCGTCTTTAAGTAAACACCATATTGTTCTCGTTCCTAGAAAAGCTAAATGCATTCATTATTAGTCACATATTTGACGTATCATTAGCTATATTTTCGAATTACGTTGTTTTTTCCATCCATCCATTGCTCGCTAACGACGGCGGGATGCTGCGGACGGCGACGGTTCACGGCGGCGGCCGAGCCGACTTGCTTCTTTCCACTTCCGTCTCCTTCGCCACCGACCTCCCCATTCGACATTGTTCCTTGCGAGCGGAACACACGAGGCACATGCTCCGAAACACTAGTGGAAGCATCTCCTCCGCCCGCGTCGAAGCAGACGCGACGTTCGACCGGATTTGCAGCCAGGTGTTCGGCGCAGAAACGCTCGGCGCCTTCCAAAAACATCGACTCGCCTCGTTTACAGACTCCCAAGCGGGGGCACAAGCCACCACCGAGATGAAGCCAGGACGAGCTGCAGCAGAATAATGGCCATGGGGAAAAGTTGGCGCTCGTCCTCTCCCCAGCAACCCCTCGCTTCCGCACTCGCCGGGGAGGACGCCAAGAAGCCTCTTCTCTCCCCTTTCGAAAACGACACCAGGAAGAGTCACCCCGCAGAGTCCAAACTCCCACACCATTAACTCCACACGGTTGGCTTTTACCGGGCGTTTGATGCGTTTGTAGCCATCGGCGTGGCGAGAGATTCCCGCCTCCGCACCCGCGTCCCTCCACGAGGTGTTCGATGGAATGCGATGATGGGATTCGCCTGCGCCGCTAAGCGTAAGCAGTAGTAGTCTAAACGTAACACAGTGAACAACTCGTGACTCCACTGTGGCAAAAGAATCTTACAGAGATTTCTAATATCTCTTCTTCGATAATGTCTAAATACACCTAATAATCATACGAATGTAACATTAACACACGTAAAGTCTACGATATGACATCGGACAATACCGTCATCGACGAAATCGAAGGTATCGTCTTTCCGATATATTAAGCGGGACCGGTTTATAACTCGTAACGTAACGGTGGTCATCCATTATAAATACCGCTTACGCTTCGCCTCACACGCTAAGCAACTATTCTCTGCTTTGTTGGCTTTCCTTCTCTCTCTCTCGTCTCCTCAGCTTCTCTCCTCGGTGCAATAGTCGTAGATTGATCTCCTTCTTGTCGCGGCTTCGAGTTGAGCTACTGTGATGATGGGATCCACAGAGAGGAAAGAGCCTAAGGCTAGAGCACGAGTGGAGGAGGTTCTCAGGGCCCTCAAGAAACAAGCTCCTCTCACAGCGGAACAGGTGCGGGGTTTGGACACATTTTGCTCTCTCTCTCTCTCTCTCTATCTATCTATCTATCTATTCTTCGTCCAAGTAGAGATAAGGATGGTGTGAGATGCTGTGTGGGAGTGTTGCTTTGTTTGGTTTCATGAATCATGAACAGTGTGAAGCTTGTTCGGTGTGGGTCGATGACAGGAGAGGTTCTGTAGCGACGCGTGCGTGGATCGGTTCCTGCGAGCTAAGGGAGATAGCGTGAAGAAGGCGGCCAAGCATCTTAGGACCGTCCTCTCGTGGAGGGAGAGCATCGGAACAGGTAGGATCTCGTTGATCTCTCGATGCCGCAATGTTGTTCATCTGCCTAACTAGCTACTGTTGTCCTCTCTGAAACCCCAAAACCCCACAGAGCTTTTGCTAGCGGACGAGTTCTCTGCGGAGCTGGGCGACGGGATGGCGTATGTGGCAGGTCACGACGACGAGGCCAGACCAGTCTTGGTACAGTCTCCCCCCCTCCCTCCCCCCACCACCACCATCTACCTACTCTTCTTCTGCTGACCAACGTACCATCGCTGCAGGTCTTCCGCATCAAGCAGGACGACCTCAAACTTCGTTCTCACAAGTCGTAATGATCGGCTCCCCTTCCTTGTTGCACAATTTTGTCGTCGTCGTCGTTTTCTTACATCTTGTGCTTGCAGATTTGTCCGCTTGTTGGTGTTCACTCTGGAAGTGGCCATCTCAACCGTGGCCAGATTCGTAGATCAGTTGGTGCTTCTCTTCGATGCCAGTAAGCTAATAAACAGTGCAACTTTGACTGTCCCTTCTCCGTGATAAGTTAGTCAACACTGCGCTCCTTCGCTGCACATAATTCTAAAAGCTTTTTGCAGCAAACATGATTCATAGCCTTTTTGAATCTCTCGTCTGTTCTAATAAAGGTACAAACAAAACATGTCTAAGCCAGAGGATGATGACAAGATTCAAACTAAATCTTTGTTTATGCAAGTGCAAACAAAGCATTGGGTGAGTGTGGTCTCAGTGTTTTTAGTCAGTGGCTACTGTCCACTGTTGCAGACCACAACAGAGCCCGGTCTCCCAAGCCTCACCGTAGTCGCATGTCCATTGCAGCAGAGATTCCCTACGTCTCTGAGGTCCCCCACCTTTCTTCCTCCTCTCACCCAGTCTCAAACTCAGAGTTGCAGTATGCTTGCGTCGTTTGAATCCCCTGTTTCCCGCTTCGATGTTTCAAATTGAGTAAAAGGACTTTGTCGGAGATATGGAAGAAGAAGGAACTGAGAGATCGATTTGTTCTGTTCTGAGAACTGCTGGTTGCTCAGCTACAGTGTGTTCTTGTTTGTTGCAGGCTTTTTTAGGTCCCCGAAGGCTTTCCTCAACTTGTTCGCGGGTACGCTGAAGATTATCTCGGACTACTACCCGGGGCGGCTCCACAAGGCTTTCGTGATCGATCCCCCCTCCCTCTTTTCGTGTCTTTGGAAGGTGTGTGTGGTGTTGTTGGATGATTACGAGTCGATTGATGTTGTTTTGGGTGCATTGTGATGGCGGTGGGCCGTGCAGGGCGTCCGGCCGTTCATCGACCTTTCGGCGGTAACGGCGGTGGTGTCGTCGCTGGACTTCGAGGACTCGCTCGAGGACGCCGCCTTGGCGTCGCACCCGAGGACGACCTCCCTCCGTTTCCACCCGTCCGCCGCCGCCTCAGCCGCCAAAGTCGGCGGCTCCACGTCGTCACGGTTCTCCGTCACCGTCTCCCACCTCAACTCGCTCAAGCCGTGGTACCTGAGCACGACCACCACCAGCAGCGTCGTGGTGCCCACCGCCAGTCCCTCCCTCATCGGCGCCTCCCCGCTCAGCGCCCGGTCATTCTCCTTTGCCTCCCCAGCCGCGCGGTCCACGCCCCGCGTCGGCATCAGCGCCGGTGCGGCCATCACCCGGAGCATACCGTCCACTCCATCGTCGGCCGCGCCAACCAGACCACCGCCGCAGCAGCAGCATCCGAGGACGCCGATGCCGTCCTTCCTGCAGTCCCCTGCGACGCTCTTCTCGTTCAAGAAGGAGAGGCAGCTCAGCCGAGTGGAGAGGGAGAGGGAGTCGTTCCTGCCGTTCCTGAGGTTCTACCGGCGGCCGTACGACGAGACAGCGTACCGTGCCAAGATGCGGCCGCCCCACGGCGGCCTCGTCTCCATCGTCTCCCTCCACGATCAACCCAACAAAAGGCGCAACAAGATCCAATCTTTTCCCGTTCCCAGCTCGCAACACCGGCATTAACACTCCTAAACCGGATCAAAATAAGCAACTTTATGATATCAAGAATAAAAATCGGTTTCCCATGCACTTGCATGACTCACTCAGACCGCAAGAATGCCGGGTAGTGTTGGCGGTGTGCCTAAACGGCGTGCCTCGGAGGGCTTCCGAAGGACGAGGTCGGTGTGCTTCGTGCGGTGGCGCGAAAGACGGCAATGCCGTGGTCGCCACGGTGGTCAGTGATTCCACACCGCATCTCAGTGGCTGTTCGACAACAACGGCATCAAGTTCAAACCATGTCTTCATCTCGCCTCGGTTTCAGGCAGGAGGAGGCTACCGATGCCAAGAAATGGGAATGTGTGTCGCTGTCTATTGTGGTTGTCCTTGGATCTTTGAGTTGTCCGTCAGTCTTCCATGTTTGGAAGTCAAAAAGAAGGTTGGAAGTCAGGGGAGTCACAGTGCGTGGAAGAAGGTTGTAGCGACAGCTATTCTTGGCGTTCTCCCTCGTCGCCTACTTCTCGAGGTATTCTACTGTAAGGCTGACACCGGCATCCAAAAGAAGGGGAACCTATTTTTCGTTTCAGCTCTCGTATGTGTACCGTCATATGTCACGACAATTACTGCGGGACAATCCTGATCTACTAACTGTGCACACATCTTAACCGTCTGATGTCAATCAAAGATATATAAGCCACATTACGTATCAGCCAATTGGAATTGGAATGTACACATTAACATTGTTAATTGTATCTAATTCGTCCGGTCGATCCTGGCCTGGCTCAGAACTTGCCCGGTCCAATTTGAGTTGACTGAACCAGTTAAGCCTTTGATTGGTTATGAGCCGCGACTGGGTTCAAGCACATCAAACCCGGCCCAATTGCGTTAAGACTACAACTGTTCCTATAACCCGCCCGACGACTCCGCTCACGTCGCTCAGCCTCTCTTCCCCTCTTTTAGGCGTATCTTCGTCGACCGTCGGCGATCCAAGTTTCTCGATGGGTTCTTTGCTGGATCGGTGAACGTTTCGGGCTTCTTCTGCCAAGAATCTCTCTTTCGAGGATCGGTTTGTTCCTTTCTGCCCTCTTTCTCTTTTTCTCTTCGATCCCTTCCCACGCTTGATGAGTTCTTGAGCGTGCTTTTCTTCTCTGACGATTCCCCCCTCTCGGTCCGATGAGTTATCGAGTTTTCCTTCTTGGTTCTTTGCTGGAGACGGATCGGTTCTCGATCGGCTCTTGAACGGGTTTTGTTCGTCGAGGAAGTTACTCTCGTCGTTTTTTTGGATGTGGCAAGGGTTCTTGATGAGTTCTTGAGCATTATCTTTAATGTTCCTCTTGGCTCTTCGACGGGCACGAATCGGTTTCTCTACGAGATCCTGGGCGTCGAGATCGGTGAACTAAGCATGCTCTAATCTCTTCCTCGAGGTGAGGATTCTTCGGTCCGCCCACTTTCATTCTAGGGTTCTTGAGTGTGCTCTTCTTCCCCGAGGATTTCCCATCTTCGTTCGGTGAGTTCTTGACGGTTTTCTTTCTGGTTCCTTGTATGGATGTGACGAGTTTTCTTAGCGAGTTCGAATCCTCCTCCATATTTCATTACTTCATTACTTTCGAGTTTTTGAAATTCGATTCCTCCGATGATGAATTCTTGCCGAGAAAATTCACACACCACCTTGAAAGAAAGATACAACCAACTGAAGCCAAAATCACATACCACCTTGAAATTAGTTTAATGTAAATGCTTCTTCGGTAAACAACACACTTAGCTGATCAGCATAGTCAAGTAGTCATTAATTTATTAGACTAGAAGAAAGCAGTTAACATGACTATACATAAAAGACAAGATACAAATATGTAGGATTGCAACACAAGACAGCATTCGAGTCCAAAATTCACCAAACATTCATCAAAACTTTTGAATTCTCGTTTCTTGCCCCCACTAAAACAACTCAAAAAACAGTTACTAGGTCTATAAAATTCAAAATTACCCATACTGTTATTCAGAACTTTGCTAATGAAGCTTCAAAACCTTGAAACTCTTCAAAAACCAAAGTTAACTAAGTTTATACCTACACAAATGTACCTCACTTTGAGCAAATCAACTTATCACAAGTCATTAAGAGTAATTAAACTTACCTTAAAGGACATCTGTCAATAAGAAAACAAAATGAAAGGAAAATACTGAAAAAAATGAACATAAATGTGCTAAAAGAAGACATAAAAGAAGAAACATGATAAAATATGAAATATCCCCCTTACAAAGTATTATTACTCTTAACATGTTAACTACATAAAAACCATATGTGACATTCAAATTATGTTCAATTTGAAATGTCTCCTTTAAAACATCTTTTCTGGTCAATTCATACCAAAGGTACCCTTTTGAACTTGTTTTGTTAGTCAAACATAACTGGTGCTAATAAACAACCATCACTGTGCAATAGTTATATATTTCTTTAATCAATGTGCAATAGTTATTCATACATAATTGATTCTTCTATCACCAGATATGTCAAAAATCTTAGTCAAAGACTAATAAAGTAGAAATGGCACCACTTGTTGCCACCTCAAAACCACTTCAGACATAATAAGATAATGCAAATATGGAAGAATAGACCGGTATCACTGCAAAGAAGGGTTATACCATATCTTACTTGCAAATCACTGCAAAGGGTTATCCATACCATCAACCAGTATCATATCAACACAAGGATCTGCCACAACCAAAATTATTTTATTTCACTCAATCCAAACATAAGCAAGTAACTTGCAGCATTAGTAGCATATAATTAAATATTAAGCAGGATTAGATATTAGGTAGAGAACAATTGATGAATAATGTTTTATGCTAACATATTTCATAATATTTAGGCTGAAAGCATGATTGTTCATTTATGATAGCACAAGACTGAAGAAACAATGAAAAGAAGATTCCAACAATTAAGGTCAAGTAAGCAAATGGGAAATCACTTGCCTGAGGTCATCCTAGAATCTGACGTCTATATATATTAGTTAACTTTAATATATTAATCTACATACTTTCAGTGTAATTATTTTCATCTATATCTTAGATTCATATTCTTTAAATAAAATAGACAACAGGAAACATGATAGGTAAAGGAATATTTTATTATGGTATTCTTTTCATAAAATTTTATATTATAATTTTTTTGTTATTACATTGTTTACATTTTTCTTATTTTTCATGTTATTATCTCCATCAAACCAATCAATCTCGTTAATCCAATCTCAAGATTTTGTTAATATCAATCATATCATCCTTAAAATATCTCAGTCTCAATACTGATTATGCAACTAAGATTGGTATCAAGTGCATGGGGATCTACTATGAAGAACCAAAATTCAGCAGTAAAAAAAAAAGAAAAAAAGAATAGTGACTGGAAGTATGCAGACAAATCTTTGACAGCAAAACAAAAGAACTCACTACTCAAGGAGAACTTGCCTTTATAATTATTTTGTTCAAATAATTATACCAGCATTTTATAATTACTTTCTAAGAACTTAAAGTAAAGTAGCCATCTAAGGCAAAATACTCAGATTAGAAGCAGCATGAGGTCCGCCATACAAGAGAAACGCGCACTCAAGATAGCACTGAGATAAGGTGTGATTTGAGGTGGTATCTAATGGTTGTTCTTTGTATCTCAGATACTAAAACTTGGAAACACATCATTTCATCAAAGTTAATGCTCCTACGAATATAGAGATACATGAAAAGTATATCAAACTTCAAATTGATAGCCTTTCTCATTAAAGAACAAAGAAACAGGTTGGGATTTTTATGACAAGAAGAGAACATGGATCAACTACATATTAATTTAATGACTAGTTGCTTTTCGATCACAACCGATAGGTATTTAAGTCAACAAGGCAACAAAAAGATCATCCGAATTCTGAACTACCATGACCAGTTGACTACTAGTACTGTCAATACTAGAACAATAACAAACCGTAATGTCTGAAATCGAACCGATGAGTGTCTTGTCTTTATTGAGATTCCTCCACAAGAGATCAGCGTTAGGAGAGTTTCCGACTTGATCTGTCCGATGGTAAAGTCGGTAGTAGAAATTTTTTTTCTCTCATGTTCAAGTTTAGGTGGCCGACTTTTATACCTAGACAGTTGATAGTGGGAGGCTGATAGCTCTTTTCTTAATCTGTGATTCTTCATGAGCTTATTTATGTCGACGATCGTATTGTTCTTTCCCATGTAAGCATAGGATGGTCGTAGGGACATCGTTTGTTTAGGTTGTGTCTGTAAAAGAAAAGAGGATTACGATCGCCCACGTCAAGCGACCAGAAAAGGGGGAGATGTATTATGCTGTTAGGGATTAATGCTCCCAAAAAAGGGGGAGATGGGTTCTACCGTCAAGGGTTAATGTTTTCGGAAAAAAGGGAGAGATGAGTTTTATCGTCAAGGATTGATGCTCCCTACAATTGGGTGTGTGGCCTTTCATAAATATGTGACTCGTAAGAGATAATGGGTTTCTTTCCCAACATTTATTGTAAAGAAGAGGCAATACACAAGCCCATCTACTCTCACAATTAATAATTTTTAATTTCCTCCATATTAAAATTTCTAAGGACACTTTGTTTAAATAGAAAATATTTTTTTATTGGTAATAACCACCCATTATTTATTTATTTAATAATAATAATAATATTATTAAAAAAATAAATTGTGAAATTTAAATCCAATATATTACGATAGGCTATTAAGATCTTTACCACTTAGGCTAGTTATCACCATGATGTTTTTTTTTTTTTTGCTATACATATCAACAATATTATTATTAAATCAAATTTTGGTGATTTATCATATTGGGCTAAACTATACTAATTGACAACAATTTATAAGAGAATGAAATGCTAAGAAATCAAGCTCCAAGTCATACATAATATGGCCTTCAAGTTCACTAATCTACATTTAAAATGTACAATTAGTCCCAAGTCATAATATAGGTTTGTAGAGTTGATTCATGAACTTTCAATTTAACCAGCAAATTAGAATATGATAAGACTTGGCCATCCAAGATTTCAGAGTAGTATAAGACTGACCCAAACAATTTGAGTCACGCTGATGAGGTACAGAAACATCAGACTAATAATATGTGGTAAGATCTGAGAGATTGATGGCGTGAAATAGGGATCGCACGCCCAAAGTCAATTGAATTAAGAGAGGCGTCGCTTAAGCTGTCACAGAAGACTGGATAAAAGAATGACCGACACAGGTGGAGTCTCACATTGTATGCAATAAAGTAGAGGAATACTATAAGATACATGCTTGAATTCTACTTGATATCAATAGAGGAGTTGCGTGTTCAAATGATCATTAAAAGTTGCTGCTCGAGCTGTCTCGGAATGCTGTCAGATTAAATAGAGGTTTCAGCTGCCTGGTGCATATCATCATCTTCTTCAAGGGAGGAAGAAGAGAGAGCTTAACTGGGGACCGCCATGGATTCAGCATCAGTTATCATCATTGGAGCAGGGATGTCAGGTAGAGTTCTTGGCATGAACACTGCAATCTGCGTGAACTTGGCGACTTGATCTTCCTTCCTCAGGTATCTCGGCGGCGAAGACGCTTTCCGATGCGGGCGTAAAGGAGATACTGATCCTGGAGGCCACAAACCGCATCGGTGGCCGCATCAGGAACACCTACTTCGCAGATCTTAGTGTGGAGACGGGAGCAAACTGGATTGAAGGAGTGCATGGTGAAAAGCAGAACCCCATATGGGAGATGGCACAGCAGCTTGGCCTCAGGACTTTCAGATCGGACTACAGTAATCTCTCCTCCAACACCTACAAGCAAGAGTAGATCTCTGAGACATACATGACCTTCTCCTTTCTCTTCTCCTTCATCGTGTAGACTTACTTGACTGTGTGATCGTTTCAACTCAGTGGTGGGCGTTACGAGAAAGCAGCGGTTGAGGCGGCCATAGACGAGTCGGAGAAGATTCACAGCTTGGGAGAGGAGTACTCCAAAACTTTGCCCCCTAGCGGTCGGAATGATATCTCCATCTCCACGTTTCAAAGGCTCGAAAACAAGTTAAGCTCATTTCATTCTTCTTCTTCTTCTTCTTCCAACATGAAGCGGACATAAGTGACTATGGATATATAAGGTTTCGATCGACAGGATTCCTTCCACTCCCTTGGAAATGATCGTGGACTACTACTCTTACGACTACGAGTTCGCAGAACCTCCGAGAGTGACGAGTCTGCAAAACACTGTTCCATTGCCTACGTTTGATGACTTTGGGGACAACGTGTACTTTGTGGCGGATGAGCGAGGCTACGAGATCTTGGTGTACAACTTGGCCTCCATGTTCCTCGAGACCAATAGCCATGGGGTCATTGTAGATCCGCGTCTCCAGCTTGGAAAGGTGAACTCCCATGGCCAGACTACGTACTTGAATCCTATGATTCATCTTGCCATGCTGAGCAATCTAACGTCTCCCGTCCCAGGTGGCGACGGAGATCCAGTACTCGGGTGATGGTGCCACTGTGAGCACGGACGACAGATCAAGTTACAGAGCAGATTTTGTGCTCGTCTCGGTCAGCATTGGCGTTCTTCAATCAGATCTCATCAAATTTAACCCAGTTTTACCTGTAAGCATGCGTTAGAATTCGCTCGTTCGATTGCCATCACGAGGCTAAATGCTGTGCGTCTGAATGGAGTAGAAATGGAAGATCCTGGCGCTGTACGAGTTCGACATGGCAGTATACACCAAGATATTCCTCAAGTTCCCTTTCAAGTTTTGGCCTGATGGAGATGACACAGAGTTCTTCCTGTACGCCAGCAAGAGGAGAGGATACTACCCACTGTGGCAGGTACGGCACCTTCCTTCCGATACAAATCGAACTCTGGATTCTGGTGAGGAACACCAATTGCCATGATGCACCGCAGCATTTTGAGAAGCAGTACCCAGGAGCCAACATCCTGATGGTCACCGTCACCGACGAGGAGTCCAGAAGAATAGAGCAGCAGGATGAGTCCACCACCAAGAAAGAAGCCATGGAAGTGCTGCGCAGCATGTTCGGCAAAGACATTCCTGAGGCCACAGACATCCTCGTCCCCAGGTGGTGGTCCAACAAGTTCTTCCGGGGCAGCTTCTCCAATTGGCCGCTGGGAGTCAACCGGCATGAGTTCGACTCCATCAAGGTAATGCGTGCAGCTTGACAACACCCACCACGCGATCATGAGCTGACTCTTGTTCCTGGTGAAGGCACCCATCAAAAGGCTTTATTTCACCGGTGAGCACACAAGTGAGCACTACAATGGCTACGTCCATGGAGCGTACCTCGCAGGTTTACATCACCTTCATGATCAGTCTCATCACCATTCCTAGAGAAGATCAAGCACTAGGTTTTCTCCTGTTACAGATCTATCCTGTTCTTTTCAGGGATTGATTCAGCAAACATGATCGTCCAACATATCAGAGATGGATATTTCGAGGTCGAAATCAAGCCAAAGGATTCGTATTAAGGTATACATACACAGGCCAAACTGCTCTATCTCTGAAACCATAGCCATGTCTCATACAAGCACAATCTCTGCTGTAGCTGATTTGTGCTGAAGTCATGCAGAGATGGAGTACAAAGAAGATGATCATGATCATGGCTACTTGTACGAGGATCAGCAGTTCTGGATCACTCGAATGCCTCATACTCCAAGATAAAATGATGATGCATTTGCATTGTTGTATTACTCATTTGCACTGTGGAATAATGATATGTGAACTTTTTTTTGTGGGGAATTAGACATTTCCCCTTCCTTATTCTGCCAATTTAATTTAGTGGCTGTCAGTGTTGAGTTTGTGCCATCCTATATTAGGTTTCTGCTACTGTTTCATAACTTGACATATCTCCTTCCTATACCTAATATTATGCTTGTTTGTCATTTCATGGAACATCAAAACATTTCAGGAACTCTGTTTACTAGTAAGAAAAAACTCCTTATTTCATTTTTCCTTCTTTTATTGTCCTCAAATGATGGGAAAGTATCCTCTGTTCTACTTTGGATTGGCTTGATGCATTTAGAGGGATACATGTCAACTATTTTATTTTAGCTACCTTGCAAACATAGCTCTCATGCATGTGAACAAGGGCCTACAGCTGTTGATGCAGTAAAGAGCTTATCATGAGCACATTTCCTACTATAATTACTTTCTTGATGCATCATCCTCTTTGTTTGAAACACTTCACTTTGATGCATGGTATTCTTTGAATTTGGAGAATTGATTCTCCAAATTCAAATTCCTATCTGCTCATTGTCAATCCATCATCCTAGGGAAGGAACTCCACCTACTTCAAACATCTTTATGGATAGCCCTGGTTGTAAGGCTGATGGACCTCAAGGAGCACCTGAGGCTACACTTCCAAGCTACTTCAAAGAAGAAGCAAGAAGAAAGGGTATGGATGTGAAGGTAGTAGTAGCAGTAGCAGTAGCAGTATCACAAGCAAAGAGGATAGGGATGTGAAGGTAATAGTAGCAGCAGCATCCAAAAGAGAAAAGGCATGACAAGAGAACAGCAGCATCAGGTATTTATTATTAGATCAGCAGCATGCCATTCCCATCCAAATGACTCCAGGACAAAGTAGAATGTTGGGAGACATGTTTATATATGATCTAAGAGAGGTCAAACTACACAAGATGCATGCCTTATCCCAATGAAGAATTCATCAGGCCTCAGACCTGTTGTCTTCCTAATCCAACATTCTTACTACAATGCCTACTGGAGGCATCTTGTAGAAAGAACAGTATAAACTTCAAGTGGATGCATGAGCACTGCTTTGATGTTAATCACCTAAGAAGAGCACCAACAAGTGGTTTAATTTTCTTGCAAAACCACATGGGGAGAGAAGAAACATAATCCAATCTGTGCAAGGGATAGAAGACAAACCAGTCAGTCACATAATCTTATTCTTCTTAAAACTCCACTCCAAATGCTACCTTCCACACTTCCTTGGTCTACTCTCCCACACCTATCTCCCTTTACAGTGGCTTTGGCCCTGCTCCCATCCACCAAACAACCCCTGAGAGAGCCTCCAAAAACTTTCCTCCTTGGATTTTTCAGCTCCCCTGTAGATTCTTCTCTTTCTTTTACAACATCCAGGATCAATCACACTCACCGATTTACGTGAAATTAAGTGCAAGAAGGTAGATCTCGTCCCCTATAAATAGCCCCACAAAGTCTCCTACCAGCCTCAGCTCCCTCGCCTACACGCCTGCTTCCTGTCGGAGTTCCAAGCTCAGACTGCTCCCATGGGGAGGCATGCCAACGACCCCACCGTCCTCAACTCCTCCATCGCGCTTCTGCAAGAGAGGTTCAAGCAGCTGCAGAGGGTGAGGGAGATGAGAGAGGAGAGACAACTCCAGGGGACAGCGGTCAGGAGACAAAGCTGTGATCGCGAGCCTCCCAGGTGGCTGTTCCCCGGCGCTGCACCCGGCCACCACCACCGTCGCCATGGCGAGGAACACGTGGAGGTCCAACCACTCGACGCCTCCACCTCCGCGGGCTTGCTGCCCCACGGAAGCATCGCTGCCCAAAGCTCTGTCATGAGCAATGAGGCCGACGTCGACACCTCCCTTCACCTGTAATAACATCAGTTTCCTCTTTACCGGGGGGGTTATATGTCACTGTTCTCTTTCACTCTTGTGCTGCAAGAAGAATTCCGAGTATTCGGGGTGCAATGTAATCAACCACCGGCTATGGTTAGATCCATAGCTCTTCTTTCTCTCTAGCAGAAAAGAAAGGTTCATATGAAATAGATGGCTTTTGGCTTCAGTATACCCACAGCTTTAAGCTCATAATGAACCAGAAGTTGTAGGGTTTACAACACACAATCAAAAGGAGGAACTCGGCACGAGTCACAAGCAGAACCCGAAGAACGGCGGATGCCAAAAGCTGTGAAGAGAGGAGCTGTGACCTACACAAGAAAATTTGGCAGTGCATGTGGATGGAAGAAGTCGAGCAAGTGAGTGTGGTGGCACCATGGACAGAAGAGATGGAATTTCTGTCGGCTAAACTAGAAGACGACAAGCATGAGAAAGACCTGTCAGCAAATCAATCATGCATGATATGTACTGCTTCACTGTCTTCTTACCGCCGTGCCTCAAAAATAGCACCTGGAACAAAGACTAGGGGTTTTGTAGCAGTCCGGTAAAAGCTACAGGAAACAACACTCACAGGCCATGTAAAAGCTGCAATCTCATGCTCCTACTGTTCCTAATAAGTTAATTGTTATTCGCAACTAAGAAGAATCGACGATCAATAGCTAAACAGGAAGAAGACACTGGTGATGACCATGCGAACCAGGAGGCATGTGAAGAAACAATGCACGAGAGGATAAAAGGGACAGATTGAGCTCAAGAATGTGGTGGTGGTTTCAGTTGAGATGATAAAAGGCAAAAGCAGGCTATGGTCTGCTCCAGGAGGTGAGGGGTGTGTGGTGAGCATGGTAAGAGAGAGACAGAGTGCTCTTCAACATTCATGGAAGCATTTGTGAAGCAATTCCCTAATTGTTAAGCTAAAAAGGAGGAACGTTTACTTTACAGGGGAACAGAAAGCCAATCAACCACCCAAGCTGAGGAGGGGAGGGGGCACTGTGAGTGCCCTGTTTGCCTGCCTCTGCATGGTGATCCTGTCCTCCATGTCTGCCTTCAACCTCTTCCACTTGTGTGAGAGAAACCGGAAACCAAGTAACGGCGGTGGAAGATGGTGGATGAGCTGCAGCCCACCATCCTGTTGCCACCGGAGAGCAGAAGCCATTGTAGCCTTCAGCTTTTGGCTGGTAACAGGGTCTGCAAAATGCTCATCACATGCAGTAGAAGATGGTGATGCGAGGGATGGGATTAAAAACTACGATCAGTAGAATGACACAGTGCTATATTTTTTTCTTTTCGTTCCATTAAATACATTTTGACTGCTTTTCATTTTTTGAGTAAATGCTATGTTTACCAAAGGACAAAAGTATATATATATATATATTACTTGACCTCAAAACTACTTATTTCATTTGCATCAGTTCATCACTTGATTATGCATCTATTTGCTTTATTTCAAGATGAGAAAACTAGCCTGACATACATATAAAACCTAAGTAAGTCAAATAAGAGCAAGCAAGCATAATTTGTGTGTTTCCAAACTGTTGATCTGTGGGTTGGACTGTGTTTGATTCATATTGCATTCCTTATAATGACGCTGCATGAATAATTTGCCTCTAACTTATCCATCATAATGTTGAGGTTATAAAATAAACCGAAAACTTATTTTCGCTGCTTGTCGATTAGAAGAATCTCATAATTTCATATGATAGTTTTTTAAGTGCTTTTGTTGCTTGTTTGCATCTCTTTTCCGAATAATAAGAATTAATGTGTTCGTTCAAATCAAACTAAAAAATAGAATTAAATCGATATCTAATCGGATATTAAAAAAAAATAAACTTTTGTATATGAACAAATACTAGCAAATTATAACACACCGTGGAATTAAATGAAATCAAAATCAAATAGAATACCAAGATATATATGGAAAATCCCTCCAATATAAGGGTAAAAATCACGGGACAAACTAGAGATAATCCACTATAAGAATAATGAATATAAAAATCTTAATCTCTTACTAAAATCTTAGCAATAATCATAAGAGAATAACTGGGATACAAGGATCACGTCACCGTGCACAATATCTAAATCCTCTCTAATTCTTCCCAAGTAATCACAGTAAGAATCTATTGTAGATTTGATATAACTTGAAATGAAAGAACTGCTAGATAATTAAAAACAGTCTTTCTGTATTGTCCTTGTTTTCTTTCTTTTTTTGCTCTTCCTTTTCTATCTTGTTTTCCTTTATCAAAAGCTATGGGCTGATAAAACTCACTTTAGGCTGAATATGGGTTGTCAGCCGAACAATCGATTTGGTTCACTAATAATTTAGATTTGAAAACTATAAATGATTTTAACTTAAAAGATATCAATTTGATTGAGTTCATTCTCATAAATTCTTATTAATCCGTTCAAGATAATTAATCAAATCAGCTTATATACCTAATTTTATAAATAAGATGGGCTCAATTTCATAAATAAATAAATAAATATAAATTTTAAAAAAATATATTAATATTTTAATATTTGATGGAGGCAATAGCTTTTACCAAAGCAGATATGTAAACATTTGAATTTTTTTATAATTAATTTCCACAACAATATTTGCTATAAATAAAAAATTTAAGTTCCCATCATATTGTTTGTATCCATTGGATTTTGTTGTCTAATATAATATCATTCGGTCTGATTCTTTTATAATTTTTATGTAATGATATTTTATGAATTGTGTAATGATATTAGAGGGTTCATATGAGTTAATTTTTAATATATATATATATATATATATATATATATATATATATATATATATATATATATATACATATATATATACATATATATATACATATATATATATATATACATATACATATACATATATATATATATATTATTAGAAAAATATTCATTTTTTTACTTTTAGTTTTTCTTCAACAATATCTTTAATTAAAAATATTTAAATTATCTCTCAAAATTTTTGGTCTGTTATAGTGTTTTTTATTTATTACAGTATTTTGCTCACTACAGTAAAAATAATATAGAGTCTGTTTAAAAATACTGTAAATAAGTTAAATGAAATTAAGGTATGCTATGAATCATTTTGATATATCATATTATGATTTCAAATATATATTTATAATAATTTAGGGATAACATCATCCAAATATAAATAAAAATATTTTATTATAAAACATTGTAAAATTTACTCAAAAATATTATAGATAATTAAAATAGAATCGGAGCTTCAATCAAAGTAGATATAAGTCTAAAACTATGATATTGTAATGGCCTATGAGCAAGAAAGAAGCATTATATGGTGTTACTTATAATGTTCTTCTATAATATTCATAATAATCTTTATACCTCAATAAAACTAATTACAAGCCTAAAACTATAACATCTTAAAAATCTATGAGCAATAACAAACATAATATGATGTTACTTAAAATATTTTTTAAATACATTTATAGTATTTTTAATACCTCAATAAAAACACTATAAACGTTATTAAAAAAATACTATATGCAAGCCACATAAAAATATTATAATAATTTAAAATTAATTTAAAATCAATTTAAAATTATAAAAAAATTAAAATTATAAAAATTAGGGATAAATAACAAGTCGGGTCGGGTTCGGTGGGAGAGAGAAGTAGGTCACGCAAACTTATATAAGGCCGGTCTTAGAAGGGCCAACCACGGATTCGATTCGGGCTCAAGCGGCAGAGGAGGATGGTGCGCATGCGGTGCCCCTACTGCAGCGGCACGGCGCGGCGGTGCGCCACCACCCCCTCCGGCCGCTGCGTCACCGAGTGCTGCTCCTGCGGCCGCGTGGTGGAGGAGCGCCAGCTCCACACCCACCACCTCTTTTCCCTGCGCGCCTTCGACAATCCCCTCCCCCTCGTCACTCCCGACCTCCTCCACCTCCCCTTTCCCCCACCTCCCCCCTCCCCCTCCCCCTGTGCCGCCACCGCCGACGACGAGGAGGACCCCTTCCACCCCACCGGCTTCATCACCGCCTTCTCCACCTGGTCCCTGGAGCCTTCCCCCCTTTTCGTCCGCTCCGCCTCCTCCTTTGCCGGCCACCTCGCGGAGCTCGAGCGCACCCTCGATTCCTCCTCCTCCTCCTCCTCCTCTTCCTCTAGCTCTGATGCCTCCGGCGGGCCTCTCGTCTCCATGGACCACCTTCGGGCTTACCTCCAGATCTTGGAGGTCTCATCCATCCTGGGGCTGGACCACGACATTGCCGACCACGCCTTCCAGCTATTCCGGGACTGCTCCTCCACCACTTGCCTCCGCAACCGCAGCATCGAGGCCCTGGCGACGGCTGCGCTTGTACAGGCCATCCGTGAGGCCCAGGAGCCACGAACCCTCCAGGTTCTATTCACTTCTCAACATTTTCTTTGCCCTTTCGGATTGTTGAGCAATCTTGCTATTAGATTCATTGTTTTAGAAACTAAGAACCTGTTTTTGGTCTTTAGGTGAACAATATTACGGCTTGTAACAATGTTTCTACTAGCATAGAAAGCATTTGGTGCATGCTCAATTGCTCCGAATGGTATAATATCTTTGGGAATATCACAGATGAACTAGGAACTGACCTTATGAGCACAGTGTGGGTATCTTCGAAATTAGAGAAGAACTGAATTAATTGACAGGATGACGGCCTGGATACAGTGCCAGTCGCTTCTGGAAAGAAGAAAATGTGAATTTCAGAAATTAACAATATAGCTACCATAAACTAATAGGATGTTAGATATCACGAGGGATTGGTTTTATTTTTAGCCAACGACTAGTCACGAGTTTGAAGAAAACTAGTAAGACTATGATTATGTTACATGACTTTGATGTTTCAGGCTGGCATGTGAGGAGCCGTCGGAAACCTAGTTGGCTGCATACAGTTTGATGATCATATCTGGAATGAAAACTCTTGATACTCCAAAGAACTAATCACTAACTAAAAAAGGGTGGCCTTTCCATTGGTGTTTCCAGTTCCAAATAAAATAAATTTCGTCTAGTTAGGTTGTGCATGATTTCTTGTTGCTATCCTGTCAAGCATCTTGTCCATTGATTGTATCAAACATGTACATTTAAGATCTGCATCAAAGGAGTCATAGTTCGACAGACTCAACAGGAATAAGATCTAAGATTCTTGCCTTCATTCAGATGATTATGTTGTGTTCCTTATTATGACTGCTTGCAGAAAGTTCAACCATTTGACTGTTTTGTTTGAGTTGCAGTCCATATTTAACTTAGTGTTGAACAGCAATGCCTTCAACTTTCTGCCAACACTTGGCAATTTAATGTTTTTTAGGTCAGTTGAGGGTGCTTCTTGGATAATTCATCCTCATCCTTCTCTTCCTCCTCCTCCTTCGCCTACTCTTCCCCTCCTCCCCTTCTCTTTGTATCACAATACATATCGGCATAGCATGTGTCAATATGCCAGCATGGACCGGAACTGTACTGGTCCGGCCATGGATCCTTCACAAAATTAATGTATTGTCTAAGCCCATTAGCAATTTAACATAAACCATTAACTTGTGATGTTAAAATTTGGGCACTTGTTTAAGACACGTAATTATGGTGGCCTTTGTCGAACAGCAGGAGTGTTATCCTTGAAGATTCATGAACTTCCTGTGTTTATTGCACTTTCTTAAGAACCAAAGATTTTTTTTGCGTTGGTCGACTACTTGCAAATTCATGATGATTTTAGAACTTTATATATACTATTTTTGAATTATCTGATTGTCTTCTCTAAATTTACAGGAAATATCTACAGCAAGCAACCTTCCTCAAAAAGAAATTGGCAAGTACATCAAGATTCTTGGGGAAGCTCTGAAACTTAGCCAACCCATTAATAGCAATTCAATTGCAGTTCACATGCCTAGGTTTTGCACGCTACTCCAACTTAATAAATCAGCTCAGGTATCTCTTACTTGAAACATCAATGCACAAGTATGTGCAATTGCATTACTATAATTTCATAAAATTTTCTCAGGAACTCGCAGCTCATATTGGAGAAGTTGTCGTGAATAAATGCTTTTGTACTCGTCGGAACCCAATTAGCATCTCAGCTGCTGCCATCTACCTAGCATGTCAGCTGGAAGATAAACGTAAAACCCAGGCTGAAATTTGTAAAGTGACTGGTTTAACAGAGGTCACTCTTCGTAAAGTGTACAAAGAGCTTTTGGAGAATTGGGATGATTTGCTCCCACCTAACTATACTCCTGCAGTGCCTCCAGAGAAGGCTTTTCCAATGACTACAATCACCTCGGGCCGTTCTTCTACTTCCAAAGTGGATGTGGTTGATCTTTACCATTTGAATGCAAATCATGACAAAGACAAGCACCCAGAAACTGTTAAACCAAATAAAGCTTTTGATTCTATGGAGTGTAGTCATACAGTCACAATGAAGGAGACAGAGAAAAAAAGCAATTCTCATGTCCGTTCTCGTACATCATTTGATTCCCGGGACTTGAATCAGGGAGCGTTCTGCCAACCACAGCAGGTTCCTTTTGGAATGTTTTCCTGTAAGCTAGAGACAGAGAAGGATCGGAAGGATGATCAAGGCATCATCAATCTTAATGAAACTGAGTCCAGCCTATTGGAGTATGAAGGCAGCAAGGACTTGAAAATTTGTGATTCTGCTCCACAAATGGCTCAAACATCAGTTCCCTCATCCTCAAAAAGGTACACAAGTCCATGGCATTTGAATGCACCACCAGCTGTTTCAGGGTATTATTCTCGGTTTGAAAAGCAACATATAGGCGTTGACTTTGCATCTGGATCTAGAGAGATTGGGAAAAGTGGGAGCAATGATGCTGATGGCCACTACCACAAGGAAGAGAATTAGTAGAGAACCAAATGAATGTATGCAGTGTTGACTTGTTTTTTGTCATCATATGTGGGATAAATGAGTGTCAGGCCTTAGGATGTTCGCCATCCTGTTATATGAGCATGCTATAAGTGGTGAAGCTCAAGCTTTGCTTATTGATAGAAGCAAATGTCTCTAGCTTTCTCACTTGTTTCAGATATTAGTTAGATTGGAATGAGAATGGTAACCTTGACCATGTTTCATGTTATGTAGAATTAATGCAAGCACTTAAAGTTGTGCTAGTAGTGCTAGTTTTCTTTTGTAGATGCTCTTATTATGTACATTACTAGTTAATCTTGTCTCCCAATTTCTGTATCTTTCTGCCTAAATAATATATGTTAAGAATTGAATTAGCTTTTGGGACCTATGAGCTTGTATGAACAGGGAAAACAAAGATCTTTGTGAGTGATTGACTGGAAAATACTATAGTTTGCCTTTTCTTTTGACAACGACTGTCTGCCATCCTTGAATTTGGCAGAGCTTTTGCTATGGTGTTTGACTGTGCCAGGCAGTGTGCCTTTTAGAAGTGGCAGGTGTTCTCTTGCAACTTGATGGAATTTTTGCTGCTAGATCGATAATCTGGGTAAAACTAGATCCTGACTTTTTTTATTTTTAGAGCTAATGAATTTCTTTTTTTTTCAGGATGTGACACAACTGTAACCCGATTCTTTATGTTGAGGCTTGTGCTGTATGAGACTGGAGCAGTCTATCAATCATCACATCAGCCTGGTCTAGGTGACTCACTCACTTTTGTTAATATTTTATAATTAGACAGGTTTCAATTCTGCACTGTGGATCTGTCTGGATATGTTTAAAATTTTCATGTATATGGAGGCAATGCAGCAAGCCAAATGGCTTGCAAATTTGGAGGGGATAAGCAGTTCAACTGTCTTATTCGATAGGGTTTAACGAGGAGTTAACTAATATCTTGAGCCTGTTGTCTCTAGATTTTTCTATACATAGGTTTTTCTATACAGTTTTCCTTCAAAAGAAAATGCTTGAGGTGGACATGAAACATAGGTATGGAAGAATTTAGAAATGCCCTTTTGCTTTGCCTGTACAAGATTGACAAACCAGAAACAAGGGCGTTGTCCATGTTCTGATCAAAAAGTTTAGCATTCTGAAAACCAATTCATCTGTTGTGTAAGCATTATGCGTCTTCATAAGCCTTTTTCTTCTCTATATTTTGATGTTTATGCCTGCTTGATTGTTTCCGACTATGTTTATTTGAACTTGACCTTTTAGTGGTAGCTTGCAATTATCTTGCCTCCATATGCACAAAAGAGCAATGCTTGGTGTGCACAAGATGCCACTGTAGCATCGAGATGTTACACATGTAGATGCATGCAAGACCTCAAGTTGTTACATGACTAGCGCATGGTTGCATGCTGTGGAGACAAACATACAGATGCCAAGTCTTCCTCTACACATGCAATTTTATGTGCACTCGTAACATTTATCATGCATGTCATTCTATACAGAGATATGGTATGTGGGTAGAGGTGTTAATTATACTCGTTGGTATGCGTACAGTTAAGGATCTGCTCCTAATGGGATAAGGATAGGGGAATAGATGGAAATAAAGATAGGGATGATAGATATTTTTTATTACTCATATGGTTATAGGGCGGAGATGGGTAGAGCACTTCCCATCTCATCCTTATACTTATCCTAGTCTAATCTCATTTATGTTATTATGTTCTATATAATTATATATTTGATAATAATAATAATATAAAAATATATTGGAGCATTGAATTCAATACCTATGACTCTAACATTCCAACATTAATGATGAAAACTACAACACCACCAATTTGGTCGTTATTATATTTTGATATATTTGATTGTATTTATATCTGGATATTTTTGTATTTAGATATTGTTATGATGTGTAAATTTTATCAATATTGTTGTTATTATTTATAAATTTTAGTATTATTAATTAATTTTAATAATATTTGATTTTTTTCTTTGATGAATGAATTAATTAGGAAAATAACCTGCGATTCTCTGCCCCTAATGGGATTCCCCTCCCTTGCTCCCGCTCCATCTAAATAGGAAATGGATGGGGATGGAGGATGAGATAGAGATGAAGACGAGGAAGCACTTCCTGCCCCGTTGACATCCCTATCTATGAGTTGAATGTAAGATTCATATCAAAGAATTTTAATGAATCGTAGTTTTCTGCGTCTTCTTTTTGGCTTTCATCTATTGTCGACATTGCAGACTACAGCTTAGCTTAAAAATAAAAATTCATCAATAACAAAAAAATTTGATTCCTCCGAACTCGAAGATTACACTGACTATTCTGTTTTCTTCTTCGAGCTCATGTCATGATCTTGACAAGATATCTATTGAGCTCATAGCAACCATTAACATTTTATTGTTTTTAATTTATAGCTACATAGATATGCTGATATTATCTTTGACTTATAGATTTAGCTGCATACAGACGATCCATTGAAATGAATGACATGAATAAATGTGACATGATACAATATATTGGACGAACAAATCTAACATAATTAACAAATGTGTTTGATCTTATCCCAAGTGATTCTTTCCGCTGATCCTTTGTTCCAATGTTCAGACTTATCCCATTGTGTTTTCCATTTAGCTAGGCAGGCATTAAATGAAAGGAAATTTGGGGGAAATCAAGTCCTTGCAGTTTCTTATCCAGAGAACAAGTTTGCTCAGGGAGACTTGGATGGCTAGTTGCTTCCAATTTTGCTCCACCAGTTGTTTCCACGTTTACTGTATCACAGTTCAGTTAGGAGCAATACTCTTCACCATGTTTGGACATCTTAGCATACATTGATTAGATTCATGTGCTAACCAGTCTAGTGTGACAATTTGGCACTCACTTTTTTCTTTTTGACAGGCATCTGCTTAAGAGAAACTCATTTCAATGGGACTATAATCAGTAGATGTAACACAATTCCAATAGTTCTTCTTTTCTTTTCTTTTTTTTTTCTTTTGCAAGATTGGCAATCTTACAACTTCATAGTTCTCTTTCTTTTTGCAAGTTGCTATTTTTGATCTCTTTATGATATTGCACTCATTGATATTTACCAACTGTTTTTTTTTTGAGTGATTCAAATTCACTGATCATTTGTGTAGGTCATGTCAGTATTGTGAACAGGTTAATTATTTCTCTTGCACTGGGAAATGATCATCGTATAGCCATCCGTACATTTGTTGTTTATGCATTATGGTTCCTATTGAACATTGTATTTATGCATCTGGTGCTCCCAAGATTCTGCATGTAGCTAGTGGTTGAGAGTAAATGATTGGGAGTAACTTGTAACTCCTTTTCAAGAATGTGAAATCCATGTCATTTAATGTGTTGCTACCCAATCAAATTGACAGATAGTTTGATCCACATCATGTATTTCTCGGAAAGAACGACTAAAATAATACCTCATTTCCGAGCATCAAGTGGAATTTTAGAACTCACAAAGCTTCAATCGAGCCCCTGAATTGCCTTTCTCAGACAATGTGATGGTCACTTCAAATTCATTCATACATGATTTCCAACCTGAGATCCGTGCATCAATGTGTTATCCAGTAATCATAGTCGATGTATCACATGTTCAATTGTCATACAATGTATTATTCATCATAATTAATGCGTCAGTTCGCCAGTAGGTTTTCATTTATATCCATCCATGGCACTCTTTTTTCCCATATAATCGATTGATGGTGATGACGGAGTTGTTCGCCAGTAGGTTGATTGCTGTCAACGTTGTCGCTCCATCTGTCCATCGCCAGGCGGTACAATCATTGAGGTGGTGGGTTTTTATTTATTGGTTTTTGTTGTTATAGAATCGATTGAAGCTCAAAATATTTCCTATAAATTAACTAAAAAAAGTCAAAATTATTTTCTCGTGCATTTATGCCTTCACCACCGGTCTTTGGCCGCATTCATCGCGGTGGAACGCGTCGGGTTTCCCGTACCTACTGGCGGACCCACGAGGGATCGAGCTCTCGTGGGGGGTGGCTCTCTCGCGGGCCCACGCCGTGGGACCCGCAGGTAAAACTCCGAGTGATTCAGCTTGCTGCTCGGAGGTCGGTCGCTTCCGAGCGGACCAATTGAATTCTACCGGGTCGGACTCGGTGATGACGGATCCACGTGTGGAACCGGAGTCAGGAAGATCCCCTAACCCGACAACCCGATCCGCTAACCGGAGTCAGAAAGCTTGTGAGGCTTAGTGATAATTTTTCTTCGATTAATAGTTGGGACCCACGCTTGCGTGCGACACGTCATGAATTATAAGTAATATTTTCTTATTTTTGGCTTTAAAATATAGGCACGAGGGACGACTTAGGAACACCCGATGACGGTATTCTCTAGTAAGTATTGATGACTTGGCACGGTCGAACATCTTAAGAGCTGTATATTGGGTCGGGGGTTGACTTGCATCCGCTTTGGATCCAGGTGCGGTAGGGATGCCGTCGGATTCGGGTTTGTCTAACTAAAATTAGATCCGATAACGACGGGCATAAATTAGAGGGTAGTTGGCAATTAGTCCTTACTCCTTTCCTACGTCCGTAAAAACTCGGATTCGGGTCTGCTCTAAATGGATCCTATCCGATGAGTTGGTCACCGGGGTTTGTTGCGAGTAAATAAGAGGCTCCGCTTCTCGCTCCCCCAAGTCTCATTATCTCCGTCATCCTTCTTCTGCTACTGCTGCTACTACTGCCACGACCACCATTATTCCCCCCTTCCATTTCCTCCCCCCGCTCACCGTCGCCACCACCAACCCAGGAATCCATCCTCTTTTTATATCGGCCGGTCGAAAGCGAGAAGGCGGATCGAAGAAGAAGAGGAGGGATGGTGGGGCCCGGCCGCCCGGTCTTTGTGCTCTTCGGATCATCCATCGTTCAATTCAGCTACAGCAATGGCGGGTGGGGGGCGATCCTCGCCGACGTCTACGCCCGCAAGGTACTCGTCGCTAGGCCCAACGATGCAATCCCAAGTTTGCCGCCGATGCTAAAATCTTCTAGGCATTTATGGGAAGAAGGCCGGAAGCTATCGATTAGGGCCATTTAGTTTGAGGGTTCACTAGACATTTTGATTCGTGAGAAGTTTTAGCAGTCGAACAAACTACAGATGGTGTCGATCATCGTGAATTCGGTACCTGTGATGACCGTTAAGGGATTTAAAGTGTCCACCTTGTTATTGTCCTCGTTTTGGGCAGGCACTGAGCTTGAAGTACGAAAGCAGCAAAAAATTGAGTCTTTAACCTTGGCCCGGTTATATTAACTTATCTCTTATCCGTATTTTTCACCATTCCGATGTGCAGGTTTTAGTATCTGTGCAAGACTGCTGTTGTGAATTTTTTTACTGCTGATTGTTTGTTTGGAGTTGGAGGAAGCAAAGCTTCAAGAAGCAAGTAAAAAAATTTTCCAATAGATGAGAAAATAGATTCACATTGACAGAGGTGGCATGTGAACTAGTGGTACACTTGATTCTAGACAATGAAATAATTGTACCATTGACTTGAGTTCTGAATATGGAAGCTTGATTTGCTTCTCATGATTTACTGCTCACCTTGCACTACATGGTGCACTCAGATGGTGTTCTTTGTTCTTGGAAACTAGAAGCATGACCCAATAATTAAAAGGGAAAGTAGAGAAGAACTTACTTGGATCTCACTGCTACCTCATTCTCAGCAACTGTCTAATTCATGAATTGTTTGTTTGTGTGTGTGTTCAGTTCCTGTATTTACGTAAAACCACAACTGACCTTTTATAAATGCATTCAATATATTTATTCTCCTAAAATTGCTCTGTTTTCATTTCTTATATGATTTTGAGAAAATTTCAAGTCTGCAAACACATTCATCTTCATTTTGAGAAATCTGTATGTTTTCAGCTGCGTGTGGGTTTCAAATTTCAGTACCACAACCATCATCTTTCATTTCAGATACTCTCAGTACCTTTTCTTTGATCTGATATAGGCTGATATTTTTCTGCGTGGATATCTTGGTTGGAACTCAAGACGTGCTGTCCAAGTGCTTGACAAAATTTTTCCAAAGGTATATTTTTTTTTGTTTTTTAGATCTTCTAACTTGGTAACTCAGTCAACATGATTCATTGAGTAATTCCAAAAGCATTACCACCTATGTCGTGCATGCAAAATTATTAACTATGTACACTCAAAAAGTATTTTGTTGGATGATCAAGGCTTTCATCAGTTTGTGGACCTTGGCACTTGGTCCATCATCCTGTGAATGACTCGTGTATCTTTTTGTCAGTGCCATTTTCTGTATAAAAGATAAACTTGCAGTGAAAGTTTAATATTTCTGGATGCTGTTTTCAGTTCATTGTTAACTGGTCTCTTTTCCCCTATTGATCACCTAAACTAGTGAATGAGATATGTTGTATAACAAATTTTGTCAGTATACTTCCAATATAGCCTGGATCATATGGATAGCATGTCTTTGGAAGTTTTATCTTATTTTCATTTTATTTATTTCAAATAAATATTTGCTTATTTTTTAATATAGCCAGGGACAAAGATGAGAAACAAGAAAATTTCTACATAATTGAATGTTTGGTTAGTTTCCATTATTCTGCACAAAGAGTTGATTCTTTACTGATATTTCAGAAAGACAAGCAATACACATTCGTAGTTCTAGCATCATGCAGCAGGGTACTCAAAATGTTTGCACTCCAGTTTTCATGTGAAGAATTGTTTACTCTAGAGTTTGCTGACATTCGTTTGTTTATTTTGCTACTTGTAAAATTGTAAAAAGACATTTTCAGTAAAACAGGTTAACATCCTTTTACTCTCTGTTAGGCTGCATTGTGCTACTTGTAAAGTAGCCATATTTCAGCGTCGGTAACATTATTTTACTCTCTATTAGGACGCAGCCGTACAACCTTCTCTAGTGATAGTTTATTTTGGTGGCAATGACTCAATGGGGCCTCACCCATCTGGCCTAGGTCCTCATGTCCCTCTTCCAGAATATATTGAGAACATGCGAAAGATAGCAACTCATCTGAAGGTAACTTTATATAGGAGACAGATGCATATACACAAACATGTTTCGAGAGATGCTGATATGAAGATTTCATGTTCAGGGTCTATCTGAAAAAACACGTATTATTTTCCTTAGCAGTCCTCCTCTGAATGAGGAAATGCTTCGCCGGTCACGAAGGTATTGCTGTGGTTAACAATTTGGAGTCATTTGTTCATTATATGTTGATGTCTTAACCACATTTTTCTCAAATTCAGTCCTGCTCTAAGTGAGTTAGTTCGGACAAATGAAAGGTGCCAAAGATATTCTGAAGCTTGCATAGAGCTGTGTAAGGAGATGGATGTGAAGGTTGTTGACCTGTACAACGCAATTCAAAAGCGGGATGACTGGAGTACTGCTTGTTTTACGTAAGTCTTATTTTGTAACACCATTGATTATATTCACCTCTACACTTTGACTGTCTGGCAACCTATGTATATTTTGAGACAAATATAATTTAACCTTGGATGAGGTCACAACATTACAACCTGATTTGGCATTTGGTGGGGGTTTGTGCTTGGCGTTCCTAGATGCTGTTGCTTGCCTGTAATTTTTTATAGATGCTTAGTTGATGTTTAGGTAAAATCAAAATTCTTAATCCATCTTATCTTAATCTGTTCATCTAAATGCTTCTCTGGTTCTTTTACTTGGATTTACAATTAATGTGGCTGCTGAATACTTTCTACTGATAAGAGCTCCACTGCAGTGATGGTATTCACTTGTCATCTGAAGGAAGCAAGATAGTTGTAGAAGAGATACTAAAGGTCATAAAAGAAGCTGAATGGGAGCCTTCTTTACACTGGAAGTCATTGCCAACAGAATTCGGAGAGGATTCACCTTACGATGTCGTTTCTTCTGATGGAATGTCCACAATCAACATTTCCAATTGCACTTTTCACAGGGACATGCAGTGGGATTAGAAAGAACTTAAATCCTTTCAACAAAAGGAGTCATCAGTGGGATGCACTCAGTATGGAACATCTGCGAAATAATGGGGAGAACTTCCAAAGCAAAATGACATGGTGCTAGATCTAAAGATCTTGGATTTATAGTCATCAAACTTTGTATGCATCGGACTAGTTGATTTTGTACCTTCATTTACTCATCCAAACTGATCAATATCTTTCTTTATGCTTGTTGCTGTTTGAGCATTCTTGGTGTACTCATCCAGAATGTGAAGTCTACCTGGTTTCTCTCAGGTATTGAGAGAAGAAAAGAGAAATCATACTTCAGCCATCATTCACTGCAACTCCAAACAAAACCAATTGATTTGGCTGTCAGTTGCATCAGACTGAGCTACAAGAATTTATATTTGCTGATCATTTTGGTGATTCTATGCCATGTGATAAAGTTAATTGCTTGAATATGTTATTTACATGCTTCCTAAAATGTTCTCTTAATACTGTTTAATCTCTTTACTCTTACTACTGACCATTACCTCAACATCTGTATGTATGTATCTTGTAGAAGAAGATCAAACCAAATAGTCTCTGCAGTTGCTATGCTCATCTGTTACAGTACTTCAGTACAAATTACTGCCATTCATCCTCTGGTGTCTAACAATTGAGACATTACTCTAAATTTTGACTTGGAGTCCATCCCTACCTAATTCGTGATTTCTTAGCTTTTAATGATTTGTTGCACTAATCAGTCAACTTACTTTCTATGGTTGTCATGATGTCTAACAAACGTGTATCAGAAGTTTGAATTCAGAGCACATAAATCCAAGTCAAACCCATCATATGACTTGTTGGCATTCCTCAACCTGCACAGGGAGAAATTCTTGAAAGTGGAAGCATAACCCCTACTAACCATTTTCTCATGATTATATCTATGTACAGAAGAGGTGCTTAAAAATAGAGAACCACAAAATTACTTATGTTTTATGCCACATTAAGTAGTTGACAAGACAAATATGATTCAAATACTGTGCATTCACTCAGCAAAGGTGGAAAGTATTGACAAAGTCAACCACTCACGATCAATAATGGGACTCCATCTTGGATGTGGGATAAGAAAGTCTCGGCTTGTTTGACCAGCTGGCACCGCTCTGTTTGACCGGCCACGGCACTGACCAACTACGTCTTTGAATCAGTCTGCCTTTAGACTATCACTCGGAAATGTCTTATTGTAGACCAAACAAAAACTCCTCGTCGAGGTATATGATATCATAGTTCGCATAAGGATTCAGAATCGATTCAGGTAATTGTCATGCTGCTGCATGAGGAGGATTAGCCATGTTCTGTGGGACTGCAAGCTTCAAGAACATCGACGACGATGCGCCGACCCCCTCTTCGCCCAAGGCATCCAAGAAGAAGGCCAGCAAGAACCCGTACTCGACGAGGGGGCTCGACAAGTTCTCGACCGTGCTCGGCGATCTCGAGGCCAGAAGAAGAAAGATCATGGAGAAGGCGGGGCCGCAGGGAGCTGTGTCCATGGTCAAGTTCATGTACTCCAACTCAACCGACTGGATACCCGTCGTCGTCAGGCGAAGAGATCGGAAAGACGACGATGCCAAGATGTCCGCCGACGAGCAGCAGCATAAAGTACCGATCGCATCAGGAGGCGTCGAAGAGGCCGCGCCGGCCATGGGAAGGCCGAAGGCCGTGCCTGAGGAGAAGGTGAAGAGCAGGCTTGCTTGGGGTGCTGCTGAAGAGGTGAAAGGATGGGTGACGAGGAATTGGAGAGGGAGTTACTACTGGCCTTTGGTGGTGCTGGTGGCGTTGGTCTGCTTGGTGACGTTTGGGAGGGTGTTTGCTATATGTTGCATGCTAGTGTGTTGGTATTTGATGCCGGTGGTGCACGGTGAGGGTGGGGACGTGAGGAGGTCTGTGAACAAGATAAAGAACTATGGGAGAAGGATGAGCAACACACGGATCAGTGCCACTTCCAAGGTGCCACATTCGTCTCATTCTAAGAAAACTGGTGGTGTGCAGGTATAGGAAGAAGAAGAAGAAGATAACTGTAAGTCCTTTATTACCTTGTGAAGCCTTCTAAGATATGTGATTTGGAATCTCATCATCTATGTTATTGTCTCTCGTTGTTTTCTTGGGCTTGGAATTGGTTGTCTAACTTGGCTTTAATTCTCTAAATGAGGGCCAAGTTTATATTATAATATGATTACATTAGACTAAATGAAAAAAATAAAATTTGGGACCAGTTTTTTTTATGGCCATTTGATAAGTAAAAAATATTAAATATAATTATTTTACGTGATTCAAAAGTACGAGGAAAATTGCATATATCCCTTCAAATCTTACATATGTGATTGTAACTTAATTAATATTAAAAATTATATAACAATATATGTAATTTTGGATGCTTTATCTAAGACCATTTTGTTTGGATGATCGCGAAGTGAATGGCTGATTACATATTATCCCCTATAATCAGGTATCTTTAGTATTTTGATCTTTATATTTTAAAATTTTAACATATTTAGTTATGAAAGTGAAACATTCATATTTCATTTACCTTAACGTTGCTGATATAGATGAAAACACAAAAGTAAAAGATAAAATAATATTTTTAATATTTTAATTAGTGATGACGGAGGATAATATCGTTGGGGATCACAGGTGGTTATTATGGACGAAAAGAGGGGTTGTGAGAGATGAGAGCCACTCGATATTTAAATCAACGCCGATGTAGACACGAAACAATAAAAGGACTGTCGATGTAAATGTAAATGGTATTGCTAGGCAACTATGTCAATATCGATATCGACGCATATACAAAATGGCAAAAGGGTTACTCGACAATTATGTCAGCATTGATACAGATGTAGAGTGATCCTCATCTCTCACCCGTTGCTTTCTTCATCCAAATAGATCAGCTGAAACGTTAAAATTATTTTTTATTTTATATATTTTTATGTTACTATCCATCAATCGATTATATTAGTATAAACAAATATAGATATTTTATTTTTATAACCATAGAAATTAAAATATAAAATTTTAAAGTGCAGCATAAAATTAGGTAATGACATGACGTGACGTAATATGTTATTAGTGACGACAAGATTAGGCGCACCGAAACCCACTTTTAGCTTCGATGGCACCTCATTGTTTTGCAGAAGGAATGGGACCTAATCTTTTCCGTGGGACCGCTTCGTACTTCCAATCACTGGGGCGGTAGTCGATCGGGTACGAGTGTAATCGATACGAAAAGAATTATTGTTGTACCATTTCACGTTCGATCATCGATCGCGCTCGCTTCCTCCCCACAGCGACGACGAGGTGAAGGGAGCCGCCATGGCGTTCTGCTCGTGCTTCGGCCCTTCGAAGGCGGAGAGGCGGGAGGCCGACCGTGCCGAGTCGGAAGAAGCTCGCGCCAAAGCCGCCGAGGCCGCGCAGAGGAGGCAATTACTCTATCTCAATCTACCCCATCTCCCTCCCTCTTTCTCTAGATCTAAACTTCGTCGACAAATGGTCTTGTACATATTGGGTCCTTGGCTGATGATGGCTTTCTTTTGGCTCGATTGTCCGTGGAGGGTTTGTGTTAGGGTTGCTTTTGATTGTGGTTAGTATAATCGGGATGGGAATTTTCATCAGAAGGGTAAATCGCAGGCAAGAGCAGTTTGACAAGTCGGCTGCGGGGAGAGCGGCGAAAGCACAGATGGCGGCCTTAGCGAAGCAATCGAGTGTCTCGAACAAAGGGGAACCTGTTCTCAAGGTATTTGGGATTGCATATCACTACGTTCTTCATGTATTCCCTTTCTTCCTTCCTTGAAAGATTTCTTTTTTTCCTTTCATCGGTGCAGTGGCAAATGGGTTGAGCTTCAGATTCTTGTGGATTCTCATATGGAAAGATGTAAGTTCGTTTGATCCTTCAACATCAGGTGGCATTTTGGATACATGTTTTTTCTGTTGCCACTATTTTGATGCAGTGGATGCTCTGTTAACTAGAATTTTGTCTCTCTACTAGAACTTAGCTGTTCTTGTGAGTAATCTTGATAGTTCCTTAAAGCTTGGCAAAATCTCATGATATGGTCTTGATTGGAAATAAATCTGTACTGCTTGTCAGAAGTTGCTAAATTTATGTCAAATTTATGTAACAAGCAAAAAATCCTTGATATATAGTGGGAAAAAAATAGGATAACTACAAATTAATGATGGCCAAGGTTTCTTTATCGGTGTCAATTTGATATGGGAATAATGATGTAACCCTTACCTTAGCACCATGTGATTGACATCTTGGTGCCATGAGGTTGACACCTCAGCACCACATAGTTGACATCTCGGCATCACGTGACCGACACTTTGATGCCACAAGGTCAATACCTTGGTACCTCGTGCATGGCATGTTGTCATCTTCCGGATGTTGCAACCGCATGCACGATCACACCATATACTCTGTTCGACGTGGCATGATTGTAATTGCTGCCAAGGAAGACGTGTAACAACCCTCAACTTTAAGTCATGTCTTCGTCCCAAAACCCCACTATAGAAGGCCCACAAGTGCGTTGTTAGGATCAAGAGCACTAAGAGCGGGGGGGAGGTGAATTAGTGCAGCGGAAAACCTTTTACGATTAAAAAAAAAATTGCGTTCGTTCGATAAAAGTGATTTCAGTAAGAAAGCTGATTCGTAAATCACTTTAACTTTTGATTAAGCAACATGCAGCAAAGATATAAATGCAGTTTGCAGTTATGGTTCAAATCATATAGTAGGCGCAAACTGAAATATGATATTCGTATGAAAAAACTGATTTACGTCTAAATGTTGATTCGTAAATCACTTGATTAAGCGAGATGCAGTTAAAGCAAAGATATAAAGGCAGTTTGCAGTTATGATAGAAATCAAAACGCAAACGCAAACTGAAATATGATGATCGTACGATAAAACTGATTTACGTCTAAACGCCGATTCGGAAAGTACAAAGCTTGAAACCCAATCGTATATGCATAGAAAGCAGTAAGCTTTTGAGGAGGTTTGCAGTAAAAATAAGATGCTCAAAGTAAATGCAAACCGAGATTTAGAGTGGTTCGGTCAATCTTGACCTACTCCACTTTTGGCTTCCTCCACCGACGAGGTCACCGACGTCAACTAGAGGCCATCCTTTAATAGGCGAAGGCCAACCACCCTTTTACAGTTTCACTCCTTTTGACGGGCTTAGGAGACAACCCTTACAGAATTTCCTTTCCTCTCTTAACAGATTAGGACTTGGAAGAAAAGAGGAAGAAGAACTTTCAACTCATACAACACTTTTGAGCTCACAAAATCACAATGTAAAATCAGAATTTCGGTGGTTTCTGGGTGCACTATCAGCACTGAAAGGGTGGGGTATTTATAGGCCCCAACCCAGTTTGAATTTGGAGCTCAAAACTGTCAATTCCCGGAATTCCGGGATCTGGCGGTTGCACCGCCTGACTGGGGCGGTTGCACCGCCTGGCAGAGCTCAAAGACTGAGCCTCTGGGCGGTGCCACCTCCTGTCAGGGGCGGTTGCACCTCCTGCCAGAGCTCGAAGACCGAGCTCAGGCGGTGGCACCGCCTGACTAAGGCGGTTGCACCTCCTGCCAGAGCTCGAAGACCGAGCTCGGGCGGTGCCACCGCCTGACTGAGACGGTTGCACCTCTTGCAAGAGCTCGAAGATCGAGCTCAGGCGGTGCCACCTCCTGTCAGGGGCGGTTGCACCGCCCAGTCTCGCTCGGAGACTGAGCCCAGGCGGTGCCACCGCCTGGCAGAAATCAGGGTCCGAATGGGTTGATCCATTCGGCCCAATTTGGGTTTTTCAGGGGCCCAATTGCCCCAAGATTAAGTTAATGGGATCACCTCCCATTTCCAACTTAATCATTGTGCTAACTACGATATTTCCTAAGACATTTACTGCAACTTGCTCCGGTGCGTCAATCGCTTCTTCCGGCGAACTTCCGTCGATCATCCGATGAACCCTCGGTGATGCTCCTGTGGACTTCCGGCAAACTCCTGGACTTGCGACGATCCACTTGGCGAGTTCCGACGAGCTTCTTTGGCAAGCTCATGGACTTCTCGGATTTGTTCCCGCATAACTTCCGACGACTGTCCGAACTTCCGTCGAACTCTCGAACTCCCAACATGATCATTGTCTTTGACTCCGGTGCAACTCCTGCTGCATATCTTACTTTCATCGTAGTTAATCCTGCACACTTATAACAAAACTTCGATCGAGACAATTAATCCTAAGCAATTAACCAAGTTGTCCGGCATGTCATTGGTCCCTCGACGCTTCGTCCGATTCTTCAGCGCATCGTCCTCTCCTGCGGCCTATTGCCCAATCGGCCAGTTGACTCCGCAACTCCGATATCCTTGGCACAATACCCGCTCTTCTTGGCCCGATGCCCGAGTCCACGACCCGAAGCCTTCTGTCGATACGTCGACCGATCCACCGGCCCGACGTCCAATGTTCCTCCGGCACAACATGATTTTTCCTGCTTTAATTGTCTCATCCTGATCGAAGCATCCTGCGTCACTCAAAATACAGATTAAAACATAAACACATATCAAGTGGTTTCATCATCACAATACGAGATTCAACTTGCCTTTCATATCTCTCTCGGACTCTGAAGCTCTGATACATTCAGCACATAAAGACTCGGTACTTAGTCGACACTTTGCATTAAAAACTAATTTATGCATCGAAGAGGCTCTGTCGAGTACGCCTCGACATAATTTTGGCATATCCTAAATTGAGTGGATTTGGCACATTCCAACACGAAGTTGAGACGTGCAGTAGATGACCTTGGTTAGCTCCTCATCTGCACCCGAGTCGAACAATTAGAATCTGCTTTAACACAATTAATACTTTTCCTTTCTGGGTCACTGTTTTTTGCAATTTAGAAGATTGAAATAGGCAATGATATAAAATTGCTTAGATAAAAACCGATGATCCAATTTCATTGATGCCCATTACTTTATGAATATGAAGCAACATAATGCAAATCAAGTCTGTGTAGTATCCTGCTCTAAGATCCATTAACAAAGAGCTCAAAGCAACAAAAGTAATAAATAATAGATGAAATTAGTAAATTCTTGTGTTTCAGATGTTTTACTACCTTTTCATTGATGCAATTAGACAAATAGTGAAATATGAAGCAACACAATGCAAATCAAGTCCGTATAGTATCCTACTCAAAACAACAAAAGAAATAAACAATGGATGAAATTAGTAAATTCTTGTGTTTCAGATGTTTTGCTGCCTTTTCATTGATGCAATTAGACAAACAGTGAAACCAAAATATCTTATATAACATGGCAAGTGGCTTGATGTCATGATTCATTTTGTGTGGCCTAGCATTTCACTCTCCAAGGAACTGTTACATTTTCATGATCTGGTAATGCATTTCATCTTACAAGTTTTTCTAATTATGTAAAAATCCTGTTTGAAGTTTTTTCGAACTCGATAGGAGTTTCCATATCATCATCTTCTTGTAAGGAAATGCTTTTCAATAAGATGTCAATGCCTTCTGATTGGGTTTCCTAGAGGTATTTATCTTATTGATGAAAAAAAAAAAAATAATGCTTGGCTTTTAGGATCGCGAATTCACAGAAAGGTCATCTCGCAGTTTGATAAAAAGAGTGGAAAGCTGAAAGCAACTTAAAGCAGTGGCTTAGGTGATTGGTGAAAGAAGGATGAAAAATTGTCCCAACATATTCAATTCTACTGGAAATGATTGTTCATTCAAAACTGGTTCACTTGTAGAACGAATATTCTATAGAACAGATGGAGATTTGTTTGAGCCATGATGATCATTAATCCTATGCTATATTGCTTATTGCTTGAGGCTCGACTACCTTATGATTGTATATAACATGGATATGTTGAATTTGAATGAACCATGTGTTTAACCATTTCATCACTCTCTCAACAAATTCACTGACTTGTTTTTTCTTTGCTTACGCTAAAAGTACAAATCCTCTGTTTGTAAACAATATGCCACCTTTGATCTTTACTTCAGCTAGTTGACATCTTCGAGAATGAATGTATCGAATGGGGTTTCGAAACCGCAAACTTTTGATAAGAAATTTCTATTTAATATATTGTTTTATTTATTTTACTCCGATGAAATATTAACGAGACAATATTAGGCATTCACAAATTTCGCGCTATCTAATTTTGGACCTGAATTAAATATTTAATTAATTTTCCGAATCCGTCATAAACGTGAGATAAAGAAACAAGCCTAGGCCCAATTAGTTACGGGCCGTGGTTTGCTCAACGAATAAATTGGGCCCAATAAGCCCAATTATTGGGAACCAAACAGTATAGTTTGTTGACCGTCCGATCAACGTTGCACTCATCACGAACGTTGAATCCTGACGAAGGATGATGATCCGATAGCGGAACTCGTATATAAAGGAGGCCGTCTCCAACTCTAGGGCAACCGATCGCTTGCGCTTCCTTCATCGCGCCGAAACACAACGCAGGAGGAGAAGCAGCGGCGATGGCGGTCGGGTTGGAATCTTCACTCTTCGTCGTCCTCTTTTTGATCTCCTTTCTCCTTCTACGATTCCGTTCTCTCATATTTTTCTGTTTTTCCTGTGTGTTTTCGATCTTTCCAGGAAGAACAAGCGGATCTCCAAGGGGAAGAAGGGAGGGAAGAAGAAGGCGTGAGTTTGGTCCCTTTGGCGCTTCTTTCTCTTCTCCTTTGCATCTCTGACTCTATCTTGTGATCCGCTTGATGCTTTGCAGGGTCGATCCCTTCGCGAAGAAGGACTGGTACGACATCAAAGCTCCCTCGGTCTTCAACGTCAGGAACATCGGGAAGACCCTTGTTTCGAGGACTCAGGGAACAAAGGTTTGTCATTGCCGCCGTTGTATGTTATTCTTCATGTAGGATTTATTATAGATTTAGAAGGAAAATGCATTGAGTTGAGAAGGGGGAGAGGTTTAAGGCTATTTTGATTGGGTTTGTTGGAAGGTGGTACGAGAAAGATAGGTTTGAACTGGGAGGAGGAGATGACCAGTGACATTGGGAAAACCTTATCAGTGTCAGGTGCTCCTCTTACATTGGCTGACGCCATAGAAATCATTGCTGCTTGGGATGTTACAGTCTCAGCAATTTCTAAGAAGATGATTTTATAGACTTTTTGACAAGGAAACCATGGAAGAATGGAGTTGTGAAATGTTGAATACAAAGGATTTGGTAAGGAAGAAGAGGAGCTGTTAGGGATAGACAGGGACAAAGGGAAGATGAAGTCTAAGCCAAAAGATGCTGAGAACCACGATGAATTTGTTGAGAGATTTTTGTTGATTCCACAAGCCTTGAAAGTTCTGTTTATGTTGAATTCGGAACACATCTCTCCTTATTCAGAATGGATCGGATTTGTCAGATATCTTCTTTCATGCCAAATTCGACCTTTTCAGTTTCGTGTTAGTGATGACTCACCGTCTTAGTTGGTGAATTTTCAACTGGAGTGTGATGTAAGTGCTGCTGTCAAGGCTCTCTGTTGCAAACAAGATTGTTATTTATGGGTAGAACGTAAATCGAATGTTTCTTTATTTATCTGTCAAACATAGTTGGAAAGGAAGAGATCTACATTTTCCATAGGGTAAATATCTCAAAATGAAAGTAAGCATGATTCCCATGCCATTAAGGCTGGAGGAGTAAGGGGAACATACTAGCATTTTCTGTGTTTACTGAAGATACTTTCAAGTCAAATTAAATTAACCCTCAAACCTCCGATAACATAGAATTAAGAGCTAATTGAAGGGATTCTTCGATATGGTCTCTTTCTTCCAACCTTAAAGTATTGAGGCCACATTGAGGCTTAAAGGAGTAGGGGTGGGGGGAGAATTTTGTGGTTGCCGATACCATGTGCGAGTTTTGTGAGGATATGGTACTCTAACGACACATGGTCTTTGTTAATTTGCTGACTAATTGCACTCTTACTTTAACGGACCTCAAAATTTATTAAAGCAAGTGCATTACTAGTTCTCTGTCACATTTGGTAGTGTGCTGTTTATAGCAATCATTACATATGTATTTCTTGCATTCCATCCAAGAGCTGTCTTCTGGATGTTAATCATGAATTTTTGCTGATGTCATAGTTGTGAATTAAATCTCTCTTGTCGTCTCAGATTGCATCTGAAGGTTTGAAGCACAGAGTTTTTGAGGTTTCTCTAGCTGATCTTCAGAATGATGAGGACCAGGCTCACAGGAAAATCCGGCTCCGGGCAGAGGATGTGCAGGGGAAGAATGTTTTGACTAACTTCTGGGTATGTGCTTGTATTGCTGTGCCTAACTCTCTTGGTCTTTGGTGTCAATCGTACTTTGTTTCTCCCTTTAGGGCATGGACTTAACAACTGACAAGGTCAGATACATAGTCCGGAAGTGGCTGACTCTGATCGAGGCACATGTGGATGTCAAGACCACTGACAACTACACTCTCCGGATGTTTTGTATTGCCTTCACTAAGAGACGTCCAAATCAGGTTAAACGCACTTGTTACGCCCAATCTAGTCAGATCAGACAGGTAATTCATTATATATTGCGATTTAATGTCTTCTTGATGTTTAGTTGAACAACTTGAGGCATGCCATCATATTTGGTGTACAGATACGCCGCAAGATGAGAGAGATTATGGTCAACCAGGCTACAACCTGTGACCTGAAGGATTTGGTACTGAAATTCATACCAGATGTTATTGGTAAGGAGATTGAGAAAGCGACTTCGAGCATTTTCCCGCTCCAAAATGTTTACATCCGCAAAGTCAAAATTCTCAAGTCTCCGAAATTTGATTTGGGGAAGCTCATGGAGGTACTCTTATCCACATTTCTGCTTTCCTTTATTCTTCATGTGACAAATAGTTCTTACTTGCCATGAGATCCGGCTGTGCTTATGTTTTGTCTACATAAAACCTTTGGTCGTGTGCAGGTGCATGGTGACTACAAGGAGGATGTGGGTGTCAAAGTAGACAGACCTGCTGAAGATGTCCCGATGGAAGGCGAGGAAGTAGTTGTTGGGGCTTAGGCCTTTAGTTCTTTCTTTTGCCAAATGCAATTTCTGCAGTTCTGAATTGTCTTTCCTGTTTTATTGAGATTATTACGTACATCTTTGACAGTGTTTATTTAATAATTCTATAATCTCTCAGGTGAATTTTCTTTTTTGTTGTTTGACTGGAATCGAGGCTTTTGCAGCATTATTATTACCTAATCTTAGAGAGATTGCGAAGCTGAGATTATCTTCCGTATACATTATTTGTTCCGGAATAATTTATGACTTTTTTGGGAATAACCTGAATCTTCGATATTGAAGCTGAAATTTGAATAAGCTATTCATAAAACATTTATACACTATTAAAGGATGTGTAGACGATTATAAAAGTCACCCAAGTGGATATGAGCGTGTCTTTACCTTTGAGATGCACCCAAGATTTTGATGCCTAAATGTGGATTAGATGGGGATCGAGCCTCACTCGATCCATCTGACCTTTCTCGGAAGCCTGTGATGCATCGATCGTGTCAGATACGGGTTGTGTTCATTTACTTTACGCAGTAACAACAACAAGAATTTTGTTCATTTACATTACAGTTCAACGACAAATATAGACGACTGTTAGTTTACTGCGCTTACTTTACGCTAATCTAAAAGTCCCGGCAAAAACTACCAAAAATATGCGAAAGAAGTCAACCATGAAATGCCTCCACGAAAAAGGTGAATTCAAAGCCAACAGGCCAATTAGTCAACCACAGTGGCCAAAACCTCAACACTACGCGTCTGTGGAATGGATTTATTGCACGACTTTTCCGTCCAATCAAAAAATATGCACCTCCCTATTGGTGACGAGAACTTAGTTGTCACGGCTTGAGAGCAAGTGCCAAACCGAGCCTGGGAGTCCTCTCCAAGGCCTTGGTGTCCAACTCACCAGAGATGGTCAGGGTCGACTTCGGCCGCAGCTCGTGCTGCAAAAGAGCCCCGAGCTTCCCGGAATTGTTGAGCCTTGCCTTTACAGTCGTTTTGGAATCCAGTGCATGTTGCCCGCCGACGGTGACTGTGTTCTCATTGGTGGAGAACCTTCTAACAAACTCAGCAACCACGGTGCTTTTCTGCATCTCATCCAAATGGTACACATAAGAAGCTCTAAGAGTGTCTCCCTTGTCCACCCTGATAGGAAGGGTCGATGTTGCTATTAATTGTTCCATGATACTCTGCAAGAGGAGGTTTGCAATTACCAGTGCGATACTTACATGATGACAGAAGCATCGTATTCTGCCTTCGTCAGGCTTACTCCAGCGCCGTATTTGGTAAAAGTTCCTGAGGCGCTATCAAAACCAGCCTCTGCACCAAAGGCAAGGCCTTGGGCACCAACCGTCCCAGAAAGTTCAACCACCGGCGACTGCTTTAAAGACATTACCGAGGCCAGGCTTGCATGATGATGCAAATACCAAACCTCCAGCTGAATGGTAGGAAATTCAGTTCAGTCATATACAGTCTTAATGAATCACGACTTCAATTAAAGTCATGGAACCTTGGTACCTTCCCAGAGTTATAATCAGGAAACTTTATAGAAGCAATAGCCTTTGTGGATGGCAAAATCTCAGAGATGATAAGAGTGGTGGAGATCTGATAGAAAACAGAAGGAGAAAAGGTAACCTAGTAATTATTTTTCAGTAGTCAAATAATGGAAGAATAACGAGGCAGAAAACGCACATTTGAATCAGTGTCGACTTTCACATTGACGAGGGTGTTTTTGTATTTGTACAGTGAACCAATATCAGACGTATAAAGCCCTCCTTTCTTGACAGCAGAAGAGGTAAGTGCCTGTATATGAATCAGATGTGCCTGTAAGCGATCCTAAACCAAACTCCAATAGAGTGCTTAAATGCAAATCTTTTGCTGAATTCAGACATAAACAGATCAGTTTATTGCTCGTTACATTCAAGTGTCACACCAATATTGCGTCTTAACCACATTCCGAAGTTGACTTATTCGTCTCTTCCATTGAAAAGGATGGGATATCAGAATCCCCATCGAACTCCAGAATATATCTATGGCTAATCATCAAGCAGGTGTGAGGATGTAAAGAGAATGCAAATGATTCATCCAGGTTAGTTTTAAATTATAATCACCTGCCAGCTTTGTTTACCTTCCTTTAGCCCCCTTTTCTCCTGCTCTCTCTGATGTTTATATTTTGCTAATATGGGAGAATAATTTTATCTTTAAATGCATGCCGAAGACATGCATAGTTATACTAAATGTCATCCGCTAAAGTGAGCTTGGAAAACCATCTGTGAGAGTTACAGCCTTCCCAGCTTGCATCCTAAAGATTTAAGAAGCCAAAAGGTATCAAATAGGCCCAAGAAGTTGTGGCATTAGGAGGGAAACAAGGCAAAATACACAAGTCCATTATCTGTGCTGTTTCCCTTATTGTGCCACATGATCTGCATGTGTTGGATCAGGGGAATGGATGAAGTTGGGTATAAGTAAACAATCAATTTTTAATGGGTACAGTTGCTTAAATAATTATGACTTGTAAATCAGAATTTCAAAAACATGATCTTGTGAAAGTAAAAGGATATGTAAGACCTGAATATTCAGGTTATGGACAATAAGATCAATTCATTTCGAAACTTGATAGCATGGGTAGACATCATAGAGAACTTCTCATTGTTTATTTTGAATTTTAATAAATTATCTTCTCTTCTCTCAAACAAAGTAGAAAATTTTGGGTCGAAAATGCTACAAAGGTGTTCCTTGGCCTTGGATCAGAGCCCTAACTAGCTGGTACACTCGCGACTTCACCAATCACCATAGTTGCAGGTTCCACAGTTTTAGGGGCCATCTTGAGATGCATGGACAATTTATCCACCTTTTTTTTCATCAGTTTTATCTAGTCCCATCACTTCTCTAGCTCCATGACCTCACTAATTATTTATGCATGAATTCATACAAGTTTGTGTGTAAAATTCTATCCTCAATTTCTCATCTACCATGTCCAATTTTTTCTTGCGCACTTCTTAATTGTTTATTTTCTAAACATGTATACGTATTTAATACTGTAATTATAATATATTTTTAGTGATGCTTTATAGATCTGAGTGCTGGACACTTAGGAAGTAATGTATACAAAAAATTGGTTGTCAAGAAAATAATGTTGAAGGTTGATGTTTGGAGTCATTAGGAAAAGACTGTTTTCATTCATGAATAATTATATTTAATTTTTGACAGAAGATAAATTAAAATATAACTATTTAAAAAGATAAGGATATATGCAAAGGAAACATATCGATGTTGTACTTAGAAGAGATGATACAATCAAACTAATGGTACTAGGAGAGATTGAGGGAGTCCTAAGAAGACCTAACTAAAATCTATAAATAAAGATAAAATATCTTGTACAGAGCTCAATGGTGCCCAAAACAAGACAATGTAACTGGCAGAAAAGAGTTGGAAAATTATGATTTTTTGTTGTTGTTTCTTTTATACAACTGATATTTGTTTGTCCATACACCTGACACACAATTTGCAATATGCAATGATTGATAACCAAATGCCTAATATAGGTTCTACTTTCTAAAATATAAATGAAATGCTCTAACTCTAGAGATCCTTCCTGTGCTTGTTACCAATCAAAATTAGGTAGGAAAATAACTCGGCCTGACAAGCTATTGTACAGAGGCAAAGACATTTTAAAGCAACTTCCCAGATAATCTATAACTGACACAAATCAGTATCATTTTACAGCCTATCTCCCTGAAAAATCCTTTATAGTGTGAAAGCATCCAACAACTATCCAAACAGAAAGAATTGAATTCCATGTCTAAAGCAAAGATTCAACGGTAAGACAGTCAGTGTGAAGGCACAACTATGATCCAAAAAAAAAAAGATACATCTGATAAGAGATTACTCTGTCAAGAGAAAAATGTGAAATGATCACCTAGAAAGGAGTTCTATAAAAAAATGTCAAATCATGCAAGTTTAAAAGTTTAAATAGTCAAAACTATGCTAAGCAACTTACAACAATGTATCAATGTATGCACAGGCAAAGAGAATAAAAAAGAGCAATTAAGCAAAATTATTTGGAAAACATAGAACAGTTTGAAAAAAAAGAAGAGAAGCATGAATGCAGAACAATTATAAGCACAATGAATTCCAGGAACTAACAATAGCAAAAATAAATCGCATATGTGTGACAATATCACTTCTTGGGACGTGCAAGATAAAGCAACCCTAGCAACAAACAGGCTTGCATGCAATAAAGCAATTAGCTAAATTCAACAGGAAAATTCTACACATCAGTACCAAATTAGATCGATACAAAGATAGAAATTTACCACAAAAAATGCAAAACATTGAAAGAGACGATCCAGAATCTTCAAGTCATCCTCAATTAGACAACCACAGAGGTCAGCCTCATAGTATCATTTTATATCTTCTCATGTTCCTTTTTTCGTTTAACGATCACGTCGGGAAAGAAATAACTATTTAGACCATCGAACCGATCAACATGATTCCATAGTCGAAATCACACAAGTCGAAATATAGCAATACAATCCTAAAGAGAGGAACAGTTGAGAACTAACTGCGATTGTCAATCTAAAAGTAAGCTTACCACACCGGAGGCGCTGGTGGTGGAGATGGTCAACTTCTGGTCGCACGTATAGTCCTTGGTTAGCAGATCTGAGTTACCAGCCCAAAGATTAGCGGAGAACAATCGAACAAAAACAAGAGGGAATCTGATATCAGGGGAGAAGGAGATGGAGAGATCGGAAATGGATAGTACCCTTGGCGTTCTTGCCGATGTCGGAGAAGAGCCCCGGTCCCTTCATGGCTGCGGGCGAGGAGAGAGACAAATCAAAGGAGAGGAGCGTCGTAGGGTTTCGCCCTCTCGGTGGAGCGCGACAGAAAAATGAGAAGATATATAAATAGAGAGTTGGCTTGGAAAATTGTGGGCGGCGGACCAACAGAAACAAAGAAACTAAGACGTGGATTAACCGTTCAAGGTACCTGCATTTTCATTGGAGATGGAATGTGGGTTCATCTGTGGGACCCGAAAGTTACTACAGATCATGGGCGGGAGAGTCGGACGGGTAACGTTTAAGCGAGTCGGAGAAGTTTCTTCTCGCAATAGACGCCATTTCTGCGCTTCCACTTACGGACCGAACTCTACATTTACCCGTCGTCCCATACGTAGAAACAGATCGGGTCCCACCTGTTTATGCGGAGTGATGTCAGATGTAGAGGATTAAGGTAACAAAGAGAGGAGTGAGAAGGTGTCACTGTTATGGTCCCACGAGGTTTGCTCAATGTCGAAAAAAGGTTTTGATGTGATGGGAGTTAAGCCAAAAACCGCTGCTTCGTCAACAAAATTATATATCAAAATCAAATAAAAAGTAATTTAGAGCTGTCTATATATTTTTGATTATGCCTTGAGTGAAAAAATAATAATAATCTTTCTTACCACCTAAGAAATCCCTCTAAGATTGATGATATATATATATATATATATGACTATGATTTCATTTTTACTATAATCAAATATAAAAAATGTAGATAAAAGTTTCTGTTACTGATACAGCAAAGAACACAATCATTGAAGACGTACAGATCGATGGGAACATTACATTGGTTTAATGGGAAATGTCTACCCATTTTCCAACACGGAACGCGTAATTGTACAGTTGAAGTAACATCTCTTCGACGCAAATCTTGCCGATTCCGACTCTCATCGACGATTCAACGAATCTATCAGGGCGTCGCCTCGGAGGCTCCGCGACGGCGCCATGTGCCGGCCGGAGGGTCGGGAGCCGGATCCGAAGCGCGCGGAGGGCAGCGGCGGCGGCGGCGGCAGCGGAGGGAACTCGGACGGGGCGCGATCGCGATCCCGCGGCTTCCACTCCTCGGCCGCGAGCAGCGGCGACCTCTCGACGGCGAGGCGGCGGTAGGAGCTCCGGTCCCGGCTCCGCTTGATCGCGCGCATCAACAACGGTATCAGACCCTCCATCTAACCGATCGATCTCTTTCTCTTCAATCCGCTCTTCTTCTGTTCTCCTTTCTTGCTGAGTTGGGGAGCGCTGATAACGAGAGAGTGCCGGAAGAGGGCAAACAAAGGCTTCAATTGTTGGTAAGATGTGGAAATTGGTAATTCTCTCCTATCCATCATCATTCTGTCAATCTTATCTCGATCACAACCGTCCAATCATGTAAGCTCATCCTATCCTCTAATCTCAACCGTTCTTTCTATTGCGGTTTCTCATCACAGGAATCCCACACGACTTGGAAGAAAGCAGGAGGAATCAGCAGTTCAAATTCGTCGGCCGAGCTCAACTGCCTTAGCAGGGTCTTGTCTCCTGCTCGTGCTTAGAGGAGAAACCCATACGGTCAATTATAGGAGGCTCGAAGCTTGCCGTATGTGAGCTTGACCTTTTGCCTGGAAGCTTCCTCCTGTCACAGTGGACTGACTGCGCCGCTTGAATGGCGGCCATGACTTTGTTGTCAGCATCCATGCACGATTGCAATTTCTATGCAGGGGAAAAGAAAAGGTTCAGGCAACGGGCTTTCTTTGCTTCCTCTACGCATCATGATTCTCTTGACATGTTCTTTACGCCGATCTCCCTACATACAAAAGAGGATAATCCTCTCTCTCTATATTAGAGACCCTTCTATAAGACATTCAACACACAAAAGGAAAAGGATAAAGAAGAAAAAAAGGAAGCATCAACTCACTTGAAAGATTTCTTTTTTGATACAACAGGGAGAACAATGAATCTACCCATCATCATTCTTCCCTTGGATGCACACTCATGTATCCCTTTCTTGCATTGTTTTACGCAAGCTTCCTCCCTGAGGAGCAAGTGATAGAGGTGACTGCATCTCGACAACTTCATTTGTGACTAGATTAATTGAAGGGACTACGGAGTCTTGAATCGAATCGGACAGATGGCCTGTACATGTGATGGAATCAGCCGGCGTCTAGAGAGATAAAAACCTTCTTCTTCTGCACAACGTGACAGTGGAGTTATCAGCTCAGACCGATTCAAGTCCACAGTTTCCACCTTCAAATCTGTGGACTCGATCGATGTTTGGCAGGAAGTCACAGCAAGCCTTTGCTGCATCAACCTTGGAGTTCAATCCAGTTTGGCCAAACCTACTGCCTCAGAAACTTCGACCTCGTCTCCAAAGATAAGGTTAATCCAGTTTGGCCAAACCTACTGCCTCAGAAGAAACTTCCACATCGTCTCCAAAGATAAGGTTAATCTACACACACAAGTAGAAGTGGGAGCGTCACCAATATCTCACAACCGGTGCCATTGGCGAGTGCAGTGGGTACAACTACCCCTTCCGTTTCCATGCATGGAAAGTGGCGTGCATGGACAATTCCATGTGCCTTCGTTCAATGAACCTCGAGGGGATGAAGATGAGCACCAGCCGCAGAGACATGCACATATGACTCCCTACTTTACAAGGCCAAAGAATGGAACAGTCTAACACGTGACGTTCTCTCACATCTTCCAATCGACGTAAGTTTCTCGTGCTTTAGTGTATGTTAATTGTGTGGAAAGCGTCGAGTCCCTGTCAGAAGGATACATCCCCCTTTCCCTCGAACGCAATTGGAAGCGAATCACTGAGGTTACTTTCCTTTCTTCTGCACTCGCACTCGACCCCCTCGCAAATTGTGTGCGCGCACACGAACGAGAAAAGGATGGAAGGAACCACAGCCACAGGCCACGCCGCTTCCAATAGCCGGTCCGGGAAGGTGATAAGCGTGGACGGTGTACCGAGTCGACAAGGTACTCTGTTTGACTGCTCCCTGTGTCGTCCTCGCTGACGTGTGACCCGAAGCCACCCGGAAACGATGGAGTCACTCCATCGGGGAGTTGCGATACGATAACCCAAACCGTACCTTTTTAATGATTGGTGAATCGCAGCCGGCCCCACATCCTCGTATCACAGGGCCAGTAGGTGGGACGGGTAGATTAAGTGTTGCCACCCACGTTCTTAACTCGGTCGTCGTCCTGCGTGCTCCTCTTCGCCGCCTCAGCTTCCAAACTTGGACCACACTCCACTCTGTTCCTATTCATTTCCCCTCTCTCTATATATCTCGAGGCCGCTTCTCGCTCTTCACTCGTGTTCTGTTCTTCTTTGCTTGCCTGCTTCCAGACTTTGACCACCGAGATACAGCTCTGCGAATCTTTTCACCCTTGCCCCCCAAATCCTTACTGTGATCGAGAGAGAGAGAGAGAGAGCGAGAACCAAGATCCGATGGCCGTGGATACAGTGGAGACCGTCGTCAGCAGGGACGAGACGACGCCGACGACGCCCTACCAGGTAGAGTCGTGGGCGAAGGGGAAGCGCTCGAAGCGCCCCCGCGCCTCCAGCTCTCCCGCAGTCTCCGAGAAGGATGACGGCCGCATCCCCACCGAGGAGGAATTCCTCGCCCTTTGCCTCATGATGCTCTCCCGCGGCGTCAACGGCCGGTCTGACCTCCGCACGGCGGTTCAGGTGGAGCAGCGTGACGGAGGAGGCACCTCTCGGATAGACCACGCGGTGCCGCCGTCGAAGACTCAGTCCTACGAGTGCTCCGTCTGCGGCAAGGCGTTCCCCTCCTACCAGGCCCTCGGGGGCCACAAAACCAGCCACCGGAAGCCCGTGGCCGCCGCGGCGACCGCCGGAGGTGACGCAGTCACCTCCGCCTCGACTAGCGGCGCTACCTCGGTCCCGGGAAGGGCCCACGAGTGCTCAGTGTGTCACAAGTCGTTCCCGACAGGCCAGGCGCTGGGCGGTCACATGAGGTGCCACTACGAGGGCGTCAACGCGAGGGCGGCGGCGACATCGTCTTCCGGGGTGGCGAGCTCGGGGAAGGACCAAGGGTTCGACCTGAACCTGCCGCCAGCGTCGCAGCGGCTGCCGACGATGGGGTTAATCGGCGGAGGGTGGGACAAGGAGAAGCGGAAGAAGGAGGAGGAGGAGGTGCTCAGCCCTTTGGCGTTGACCAATAAGAAGCCGCGTGTCTTGACGCCGTCAACACGCGGCATAGAAGCAACGCCGCTGACCCTAATTAGTTTTATTTGATGTCTCTTTTATCGTTACTATTACAATTATTATTATTATATTTTTTGTGTAGGTTGAAAAAAACATTCTTTCATTGTTTGCTTAAGTAAGAAATCAATTTGTTGTTGTATTACTGTTAGTATTCAAATTTGTTTGGTTTGGTTGACTTCGTTTGCTTGACCGGAGAAAGAAGGCAGTAACCAATGGAAGTTTCTCTTTGACTTTTGAACCTGACACTGCACGTTAAATTGACTGTTATATATATATATATACACACACACAAATAGTTGGATTATTTTGGTTGCTTAGGATTTCTATGAGAAATTATTTTGATGATCATCCGCATTTGTGAGGGATAATGTCAAAGGCTCATTCATCCTCAACGCTCTGCAATCTAAAATATATCACTGAATTAAATTAGCATTATTCAGCTGCATGTTTGCATATCATTCATATGTTCAACCCTTGCTCTGTTTTTAGCTGGTAAGGTTGTATCATACTTGTTTAAGTTTTAATATATTAATTTTATTTAAAAATATATTTTTAGCTATGAATGAAAAGAATAAACTTCTATATGATATTTTTATAATATTATATAATCATTTAAGGATTGAGGGTTGATACTATCAGACAAATCTAATATATCATATCTATTTGGGAGCTTGAAATTTCATTCGATAAAATTTTGAACATATCAACTTGTTTAGTTAGAAAATTTTATGAGATTGATTAGTGTTTTCATCGTTTATCATCAAAAAAATAATATAGCTCACAAGAGAGTAAAATCTATTACACCTTTTTTTTTGTCTTTTTATAATAGTTACGTTATTAGCATAATCAATTTTAATTTTCAACCCATCATGATCAAATCAAATCGATTTGATCTGATTTGTTTTTAAAGTTATGATTTTCAAAGTATATTTTTTGTAAAATAAAAAAAAAACTCCTTTACCATCTTGTTTTTGAATCTATTACTAGGAAAAAAAAACTATACTAAATTTCTTCTATATGTAAAGAGTGAAATTTAGTATTAATTTCATGAGTTCAAACTGATATATTTGTAAATATAATTATATATAATATTAATTTTATAAATATTAATTTAGTGATGAATTATTATATGTAGATGCTATGTCGATGTAGAATGCCAAATAGATTATTTATTATATTTGAAAATTGAAATGACATGCCTGAGTAGGATAATACGATGAACTTAGTTTAAATTGCTTAAATAGTGAGATATACTTGTCTTATCTATTCGTAAATGGTTAACCTAATTATAGTATCGTTTTTGTCTCGAATGACCTGTAAATGAGTAAATTAATTAATTTCAAAAATGAGTGACGAACAAATTTCGATATCTCACAAAGGTAGTAGCTTTATAAACAATTCAGTAAATACTTCGTATGCAAGAGAGAAAAGAAAGAAAAGTGCAAACAAAGATTTTAGAAGGCAAAAAAGATAGTCATAAGTCTACAAATGAATGCTCATCAAGTGTCAGATATGTTGATAAGTTTCCATAAGCTTAACGTGTAAATTTATAAATCCAATCAATACCCAACACTATTTTAAACATCCATTTAGTCCTATGCCACCTAGGTGGTTTTGGGATCCATGATTGATATTTTGTTCTGCATCATAGCTTACAGAAAATAAATCATTACACAAAAAATTAGATCATTTTAAGATAGTTTTAGCCATTATGGTGAGTGGTCGCTTTCTAGTCGTACAAAAGATTCATATTCATAGTTTTCAAGCAAAAACATACAACATATGTACAAGCAAGCAAAAGCGATGAATGATCTGTTGGCAAAATATGACGGGTGAGTGATGATCATCCGTGAAATTCTCCCCCACTTAAATTGTCAATACCCTCATCGATGCTTGCTAGTGGGCTTTAATGATTATCTTTTCATATTGTAGGGTGTCTTTAGGCTCTCAATTGACTTTTGTCCAATGAAGCTTTCGCTACTTCACCAAGTACTCAATTTGATTTGCTCTATTGGGTAACTTTATCTCGTAATCTGCTAGAATGACTTTAACTCACATTTCGTAGGAGGCTCTAGTAGGGGAGTAGCCGAGTTAGAATGCTTTGGAAAGATTATTGCAGATATAAGTGATAGGCTTTCAAGTTGCTTGTGTGAAAGATATTATGAATTTTGTGCCATGCCGATAGCTATAACCTATAGGAGACATTACCTACCTTAATAATTATTAGAAACAGTCATTTATATTTATGTATGTTTAAAACTGTAGATGAGACTACTGCTTAACAGTTCATCTAATTGCTTCGTGAGCTTTGCCAACTTTAGAGGGGCCATACGGTATGATGGTCTCATTGGAGACTTCACTTTTGACTCTAACTTGATATGATGATCCATGCCTCTATGTACCAGTAGTGTTTTTGGCCACTTAAGTGGCATAGCATCTATAACTCCTTTAGAATGTTTGTCATCATAGTAAATTCACGAGTAGCCTCCACATCAAGTGGTTCCAACCTTATTACGACCATGAAAGTTAATTCACCTTTTTACACCACCTTCTTTAGTTGTGAAGTCAATATTTATTGTGAGTCCTTGATTTCTCGTTGAGGAACTATAACCACATAGGGGTCATCACCTCCCATTAAACATAGAGATTTTAAGAATGACATTGGCACTAACTTAGTCGTGTGTATGAACTCTATTCTAAGGATCACTTGGAATTATCTAGTGGCATCACTATCATATTTGTGTTTTCACTCCACGTCCTAATCTTGATCGAGGACCCTTTTGTCAGCTAAGAGATATGCTTAGCCTCTGAGTTCATAGCCTTCATTTGACTTGAGCTCTTTTTTAGGTTTAACCCAAGTCATCTTACTTCTTGATTGATAATAAAATTGTGTAGTGCTCGTGTCCATAATCGCATGGGGTTTTTTTTGGCTATTTAGTTTAATGTCCATGTATATCAACTTGTTACTCTCTATTTTCTATTACTTTGTCTTCATATTCTCCTCCACTTGACATCGTAATGTATTCTACAAATGTATTACTGCCATCCCAAGGGCTTTGCGATTACTTATCATTATCGTTGGATTCAAAACTACTCAAACTAAGGGCTATGACCTTGCCCTTATCTAATCTGAGTATATAGATTGATGTTGTCAATGTAATAAGTGCATGTTTTTGTGAGCACTCTCTCATCATGTACGATCCTCCACACAAGAATCATATGTTAAGTTTTGGGGCTTTGCTTTTTGAACTTGACATTTTGTGGGAATTCTTTTTCTTTAGCTCGATCACATATTCCTTCCCTCGGGAATAATTAGATGGGTGGTTCTTGAAATTTTTTTTCTTTTTCCCCGAGTTCTTTAAGAAAACAAAGTCGATGAGACTTTTTATAACTGCAATTACCCTAACCATATCAATGACATTCCTTCAAAGTAGTTCCTATTTTTTTCAAGACTTTAGGCCATCGAGCAAGCTGAACAACTTGTCCTTCTCGAACATGTCTTGTATGTCCAGCATTAGTGCTAAAAACTATATCATATAGTCTCAAATAAAAGTATTTTGGTAGAGTTGTCTCAGCTTCCTTTTTGCAATGAACTTCATATTCTCGGGTATGAATTGAATTCTCAACTTGAACTTTAAGTCCTCCCATATGTCCACTCAATACCAACCTTGTTGGATCTCTTCCCAATGTATTTGCTACCAAAGTTTTGCATCCTTATTAAGTACATGATTTCTATCAAAATTTTGGTTTCTTCAAAATGGAGCCTGATAGCTCAAAAGTA